TTGGGTTCACTTTAATCGACCGATACTGCATAGATTGAGTATATCCATAAGGGGATGAGTGTAGGTGTCGGTGTGGTTATAGATAAGATGGCAAAACCTACAGTCACAGTCACACCTACCCACACCTATATCCACACACACACAATACCCTAATAATCTGCATCAAAGCTATCATTCTATGCAAAAAAAACGACAAAACTTGCTCATCCAAAAGTCGCCCATTAAAGGGTTAATTTAATATTTGTCTTTTATTTAGAATGAAACAATATTAGAAAAAATCTTACAAGAACGTCTTCTTCTTGTTCAACAAATAGCTGAACTTAATAAACAACATGAAATGACACAAGATGAATTAGCTAATCTCGAAGCAAATGCTTTAAAACAACGTACAACATAAATTAAAATTAAAATTTGTACATTTTTTCTTATAATTAGTTCTTTTTTTTTTGTTGTTGTTCACTTGATAGTATTCATTCTCTTTACAAGCTTTGTGTGTGTGTGTGTATTTGAATGACATGTCTCATTTAATAGAAAGAAGGAAAAAAAATTGACATTCTCCTTTTTTTTCTTCATACTATTCTGTCTTTATTCATTTCCAATACGTTACCTTTTTATCAAATAGTTTATCTTGGCATTACAATATATATGAATATAGATTAATTCAATTAAATATATTTGTAGGAGTCTTGCATGTTAACATTGAATGATAGAAATATAGCAAAATCTTTTAATAAAAACTTTTCTAATTAGATATCGTTAAATAAGCAACAAAAAAGAAATCATGTCATCAATGCGTGAGATAAAAATGAAATAAATCGTGTGACTATAACAATAAATAGATTATCTTGAGCATAGTGAATACTTTCTTGAATGTACTAATTTAATAAATATGGATTACATATTTTAATGAATATATTTTACTGATTGAATAAACAATAGCGCGCACATTGATTGTATATGGAATTTGTTTATTAATAGATTCTTCATCCAATCATAAAATATTTTATATTATTATTATTGATATGAATAAAAAAATAATCTAGGGACATACATTTTGTTATTTTATTTAATTCTCTAATCACGATGCTTCTCAGAAGACATTTAGTAGCTAATAGAAAAAGACTTTTCAAAATATGAAAGTTGCTTTATTGAATATTACACTGAAAATTCATTAGATCTATATATACATCAATTTAACTGAACGTTCATAATCGAAAAAATAGTACAAGTTCTTTGTTTTATGTCTAAATGAAATACTTTTTTTTCTTCTATTTTAAATTATTGTTTCTATATATAATGTCTGACATATTTGAATTGGCAAATCTTGTTTCATTTCCGGATCTCTTCATCATTTGTTATTACCTTTTCTTTTCTTCTATTCTTATGTCTAAAAAAATAATACTCAGGATTGATCTGATTTAATTATTTCTACTTGTAAAAGCATTGCATGCTATTCAAACATCATCCGTACTAATTAGAAAAGAGAGGACCAAAATACATCAACTTATATAGTAAATCCTCCAATATGCTAACTAAGACGTCGAACCGAATAAAACTCTTTTCCTTTTTTTCCTCTTCAAAGCATATTAGTGCAAAATTAACTAGGGAAAGAGAAAAGGAGAGAGAGAGAGAGAACAATTTTATCGTCCAATGAGCATCATGTTTTCTCATTTCAATTTCTAGTACCAATGAAATTTCTTCTTTCTCTCTTTCTCTCTTTTTCTCGTTGTGATTGCTTGCAATTTGTTATGGAAATTCTTGCCACTAGTATTACCATTGAGAACATACACAAGAGAAAAAAATGTTGATGAGCATCTATTATCACTTGATTGAAATACAAACATAACTATGACTGCAACGATCAAGAGTAGTTTTTTGATTGATGATTTACTATCTGCTTTCAAGCGACCAATAACATCGGTACCTGTACCAATACCATCGAATCCTCCTGTTCCAACAAAAGAATCTGCTCCTGTATTAGCTAATGATATATCACCAATATCGCTTAATTTTTTTCAACCACCTAATCAATTTAATCAATATGCTGCTATTAAACCTGAATTACATCCATTCTTTTTTCATGGTATGTCTTAAAATCGAAGAAGAGAAAAAAGTTTTTTTTACAATAAATAGGTAGACACTCTTGTTTAAAAAACTCGACGGGTGGTCGTCATCTTCTTCTTCTTTTTTTCGTTTTTTTTTGCATGTCCACTAAGACGACAATAATGTTGTTGTAGAACGATGATGAGGTGACTAATGAGTAGAACGAATAGTTATTTTAATGAGAATATTTTACTAATCGGCTCAACATCTCTTTTTATAAAAGAACAAAGAAGATCGTCATTCATTTCTTTTTTTCTTTTTCAATGAACATTATCTGACTACTGATCTTATTCATAAGGTAATTATTTAATTAAAATGAAAAATCACACACCTGTTGTATAAAAAGAAAAAAAAAAGGGGTGGATTCATTTCTCTGTCAAGGTCAGTCAGACAGGGCGTGTCTTTATCGTCTAGCAAGTATATTACGTCGAATAACCATCTGTAATGTCTGTCGTTCGTTTTAGGTTTGAGTTTTCACGCCTATCTTAACAGTGAACATTCACTTAAACATTGTCGACGACGTAAAGCTCGAACAGTGTTTAGTGATCATCAACTTAATGGTCTTGAAAAACGATTTGATGGTCAAAAATATTTAAGTACACCTGAACGAGTTGAATTAGCTAATGCACTTAATTTATCGGAAGCACAGGTAAGAAATATTGACAATATTCTATTCATTTTTTCTATAATATTTCTCTTTTTTTTAACCAATTTGAAGGTCAAAACATGGTAAATATATTTTCTGTTAAATTTAAATAAAAATATTTTTTTTATATAAATTTAGGTTTCAAAATCGTCGTATGAAACATAAAAAACAAGTTCGTCGACAATTACAAAATACATCGGGTAGTCCATTATCCGAAGGTGTAGATGAAGATGAATGTTGTGAGGAGAATGATATTGATGTTGTCAGTGATGATGAATGTTACAGCAATAATTCTTCTTCGAAATAAAAAACAAAAAAAAAACAACAAAATCTAAATAACTCCCATCATCAGACATGGGCGTCACGTACTCTTCTTTATATTCTCTCTTTATGTTCAATCCAATCAGCAGGAGGTGCTTCGAATAGAAACAATTAGACAAAAAAAAAAAGAGACTAGAAGAGAAAAGAGCGTATGTGAGTGAGTGAGTGAGTGGTGATTGAATTGAAACAAGACAAGGCAATAGAAACATATGTCACTACAGAAAAGACAATACATCGATAATTTGCACATCTATTTATTCATTATTGGATGAAGAACAAAACAAAAAGAGAAAGTATTAAGAATATCAAATGATTAATTAAATAAATATGTTCGAATCTAACCACTAACAAAGTTAACTAATGACATCATATCATTAACACTTAATGAACTTAAACTACCAGTGCCTTGTGCAATACTGATTAATTTCATTGCTAATTGAAGATTAGTTGATGAAGATGATGATAAACCATAAGTATTTAAAAATGAAAGTAAACTATTTAATTTATTTGATGATGACGGATCATTTGCAGTATTCATATTTAATATTTGGAAAAGCTTATCAAGTTTACTGCTTGTACCACCTGATGATGATGATGATAAAGATGATAGAAGATTTTTCAATGAAGCTAATTTACTAGAAGAATCAGAGTAATTGTCTTTATTTGAATTGTCTGATACAATTCCATTTAACCAATTGGTAAAAGTTTGACTAAATGATGTTTTCGCAGTCGTTGTAGTTATTTTTGGAGTATTAAAAAAGAGACGACGATCAAAATATCTATCGATAGATGCTGATGCTACTGATGTAATCAGTATCGATACTATGAACGCTATAAAAAGAAATTTATGTTAAGAATCATTATGTATTAAACCATGTCTTACCTGTTCTTAGAGCCATATAAATGAAATTATTTCTCAAAAATATTCACTGCATTTTATACGACATAGTCTATAGAAATTTTGAATGAATAAGTAGTTATATTTTTCTTTCATTATAACTAATGAAACCATTCAATCAATATCACAACATCATACATTAAACGAACATAAAAAAAACATTTTTATGTACATAATAAATATTATTCATTCTTTCTATTGAAATTTATTAGTAAATACGTATAATTACGAAAGTATTAGATTCTTGCCTGTATGTTACACACTTAATTGAAAATCGTTTATTTTAGTATTATATAAATGTTATCCAGTTCATTAATTTACTCTTTCTAATGAATATATATATATATATAAAGTCAAAATAATTCATTTTTTCTCTTGTAACAAAAACAAAATCAATCATATATTTCACAAGTAATAGATAAAGAGCAAAACTGTCGAAAAAGAAAAACAAACTGTTACTTTCAATGCACTTATAACTAAAAGTAACATTATTATAAATATAAAGTGGAACAAATAAATAAAAAGAATATAGAGTTGTAAAATAAATCCTTGCTATATAATGAATTAGAAAAACAAAAAACGCGGTTTTAATTATTATTACAAAAAAAAGAAAATAGATAATACTGTATTTTATTTACTTGCTTATATTATTAGTATAATATTGAAATGTATCATAAACTCTTGTTGTTAATGAATTTAAACTACTTTCAACCATTTTTTCTACATGAAATTCTAATTGTTCATCTGTCATATTTAAATGAAATCGTTCGCGTAATCCTAAAGTAACATTTCCTTTTGAAAAACAATTTAATTGTGAACCTAGAAAGAAAAAAGATTCAAGATTTCATTGAGACATATGTATATATATGTTTTACCGTGTTGCATAATTTCAACAATAGGCATTAGTTGATCCATGTGTTTTCTGGCCGCAATTAAACCACGAAAAATAAGTATTTTATAATATTTATACATATCACTTTCTAATCCACCCATAATATCAACAAATTCTTGTGTAATTTTAAATGGTGAACTTTCGAAACCTAAATTTTTTGGTGTAGCTGATAACATATAACCAAAATCGATATGTATAACATGACCTTCATCATCTAATAAAATATTTCCATTATGTCTTTAAAGAAAGAAAGAAAAGATTAAAAGATTATTGTAAATATTTCAACTAACCGATCTTTAACTTGTAATAAATAAGTAATAATAGAATAAGCTGAGCAACTTTCAACAAAATTATGTATAGCTGTTAAAAATTCTTCACTTCTTTCACTACCAAATTCATGTAGAAAATAATCTCTTAATGATAATCTCGAATTTTTCTTTATTTGATGAAGAGAAACAGCATTTAGAATGGGTTCTATCAAACCTATAAGATTCAAAAATAGTTAAAAATTATTTTTTTCGAAATTTCTATTCTACCACTATTATTTGATAAAACAAGAATTTTAATTGGACGTACAAATACTGGTACATGTTCATTACGCCAGATTTCTTTTAATTTAACCATAAATTGATAAGCAAGTAATTCATGACGAAGATCATCACCACATTTAACAATGACTGCAACTAATTGCCAATTTTCAAGATGACCATAAGGTGATGATTGTCGAATTCGTTGTTCTTTTCTATCCCAGGGTTCTTTTAATGTAGCTGCTGATGGATCATCAGGATCACGCTATTATAAAAAACGAATATTAAGATTAAGAAAACGAAATTTTTTCTTCTATTTTACATCAAACAAAATTGGACCAGTTGATTTCGCTTCACTTATTCTTCTTCGTACTTCAGCTGGTGTAATCTCCTGTTGACTCGTACGACTTTCAACTGAACGTAGTGATTGAGTATCCGAATGATATGCACTTAGTATTAAATGTTGAGAACGATGATGTGCAAAACTATTACGTTTTGGAATTGGTTGTTGTTGTTGTTCATCACCAGTTGTTTCATCACTAACTGACCATACATCAGTATCTTCACCATTAGCCAATGACTGACATGGTTCAATTGATTCTGTATCAAGACTTCGAGTTTCATAATTAGGATAATCACTAATTATGCTATTGATTGTTATTAATGGATGAAGCATATTTTCTTCTGATTTTGTTGAACGTAATCTCATATCAAATTGTTTTGAAGGTAACGAAGATACAAAAACATTATCACAGAGTACAACTTCAATATAAACAATGTAAGGAGCCTAGATTTATCAAAAAAAAATCATAATTAGAAAGTTGCAATTTTAAGTTGATAACTTGAATCCGTCTTCTTATAAAGTAATATAGAGCAACAAGAACTATACTATTATCGATTTTTTCTAACTATCAAGATTATAATGATAGAATACAACATACACGATCTCGAGAATTCAATACAGTTGCTTCTGTATATGCAATTCTAACAACATGATGTGGAAATGTATAAAATGGAATCCAAACTCTAGCTGGTAAATTCATATTCATTCGTTTCATTTCACCAATTAAATTTTGAGCTATTCGAAACAATAAGACAACATTTATATACATTACATTTCTTAAAAAAAACTTCATACTTTTTTTTTCTTTTGTTGGTACATGTGGTAATTTTTTACCAATATTAATCAATGCTGCCAAAAATTCTCGTTCCGGTGATAATCTTGGTGCCTATATATGAATAATAATAAATCAAATAATTAAATAAGATAGATATTTACATTGCATATACATTCTTGTCGTCGAAAACCAAAAGTATTATCAAAACATACGCAATTATTATCAAATGCACGACCTGAGTTAAGATCACCTAAATATAATCTCGGCTGACGACGATATTGTTGTTTATTTATTTCATCATTTATAATTGCCGCTGAATCGTCTAAAAATATAACATTGAATAAGAACGTTTTTTTTTAAAATAAAATGAATATTGTTATATATTAAGGTTAATGGAATAAGAAGAAAAACTATGCAAGCAAGTCTTAAAATCCTTCTATACAACTTACTAAAATAAGAAAAAAGAAGACCTGAAAATAATATTATTAATCGAGAGAAAGAAGAAGATTTTCCTAGTTTACCTGATGCATCACTTCTAGATTTTTGATGTCCTTTTGTTTTAGTTATTTGTATCATTGTATTTTCTTGATTTAATGGTGTGTCAGATTTATCTTGTTCATCAATCGTAACATTCTCATTTTCATCTTCATCAAGTGTTAAATGATTATGATTCGTTATTGAATTATTTGCTAATGTCGGTATATAGATTATTTTCGGTTTATATTTTTCATATAAAATATCAAATAAAAGGCGGACGGCATCATTGGGTTTTTTTGATACTTTCATTTGATCAGTAATATATGCGTCAAATAACCAAGCACATTCGAGAGAAAAATCTACACTTTGAGAACATCTAAATTAAAACAAATCCATAAATAAATAAAAAAAATATTCGATTTTTTTACCTTGTAGTTATATAGTCATGAATAACTGTCGATATTGATTGTATATGAATGTACATATTAAGTAACTGTGGTAAATAAAAATCTACTTCATCATATGAATATTCAAATAATTTTTTTCCGAGAAATTGTTGAACAACAGGTTCTTTTGTACTGAATAAATACGATATAATAATAGAAATAGTACAAACAGTTGAATCAAATAAACGTAATAAACCCGGATGTTTTTTTGATAGATGTTCATTTGTAGATAGATGTTCGTTTGTAGATGTAGTTAATACTAATGGAAGATTATCTGACAAATCAACTGCCTTTAAAATCGATGATGATGATGCAGTTAATGTTGTTGATAAGTCTTTTCCATCATCAATTAAATTAATTGTATCAGATGTTTTTAATATATTACTAGGTAGAGTTACATTTGAATTCGTACTATTATTTATTGTTATCGGTTTTTGAGTATTTCTATAAAAGAATTTCATATTTTAATATATATACTGAAGGTATATCCTCAGTATTTTTGACATCTAGAAAAAGTTTTTTGTGAATTAAAAATTGAAGTAGTATTTTTACGAGCATCTCGATTTTATTTAGGTTAAAAGAAGAAAGAGAGAAAAAAAAGAAGTAACAAATGAAAATACGAAATAGAGTCAATGTTAAATTTTGCTATATTTTCTTTTAATTAAAAATCATCTTCATCATCAGCCATTTCTTTAGCATATTCTAATTCTTCTTGTTCACGTTCTCGTCGTTCCTAAAACGAAAAATAGAGAGAAATAAAAAACAAAAATAAATGATTAAATTTACTTGAGCAGTTTCTAAATCTTCATTATATTTCTTTGGTGGATAACGCATAGCTTTAACTGATTCATTATGAACTTTGAGACAAAATTCAATACGTTGATGAAATGCATTCATTGGTTCACGTGTTGTATAAACATCAATTATTTCACGTGATTGTACATAACCTTGTTCATGATTTATACTTGCTTCTATTACTCCATCACGTATTGCCTAGAAATATTCAATCGAAAATCTTAAAAATAAATTGATCCGATCAATTTACTTTAGCAACAATATATTCAGCATCTTCCGGTGAATCAAGTTGTAATTTTTGAGCAACATCAGAAAATGATATTTTGGCATATGATAAACTAATCATTTTAATGCCTGTTTTGATAACATTATGTCGTAATCTAAAAAAAAGAAAATTATTTTTCTAACGAATTTTCTACAAATTACTAACCGAATAATAAGTGACCAAGTTTTTTCTTGTTGAAAGCGATCAGCAAAGGTTTCAAGAACTTCTTTGAATCGACTTAAATCTCCAGCACGAACAGCTATAAAAATACATGAAAATAAAACTAAATTGAAAGAAACCTTTTATTTTTATACCCAATGTTAGCTGATAATATGGATCTAATGATCGTTTAAGTTGCGGATTGTTAAATGTTGCTTTATCAGGAATATCACCAAGTAATAATTCAACTGTTATAAGAAATTTATGAGCCTAGACAAAAAAAAATATTTCAATAATTTTATTAATAATCTTATCATTTACATTCTGTCGAAAGCCAATAGCTGTTTGTTGTGGTGCTTTTCGAATAGCTGTTAATAAATGTTGATGAGCTTTCGTATATTCTAATTGCATAGCACGTATACGACCTAAATATTTTCATATTTATTTCTTATCTTAAAAAATCTAGCAAAAATCTATACCAAGATAATAAAGATATCTAGCCCATTCATTATTGGATGCATGATCAGGAAAAACAGATTTAAGTACAAGTTTTTGTGCTTGACTATAAAGATTATAATGAAGATAATTTCTTAATAATAAATTAATTAAAACAGCTGTTCCTTCAAAATCATTTCTTAATGTTGCTGTACGTAATCGACTGTGTAAAAATCTAAATATAAAAATATTTTTTTAAAGCAAAAAAGAAAAAAACGAAATAAACGAACATACGGTCGAATTGTATCAAGCATATTATTTAATTCAAATATACGTGCATAATAAAAATAACATTTAGCTGATAGTAAATCAAGTGTACGACGATTAAGTACACTTGTTTTATCCACTAAACGTTTTGCACAATCAAGAGCCTAGAAGTTTTTCGTTATAAATAAATTCAAGAAAATGTAAATTTTATTTTCTTTTTACCGCTTTTAATGAATTTCGATCAATTAAATAGAGAAGTACAATTAAATGTATAAATAAATCAACTTCAGGTAATGAAGCAGCACGTGCTCGTGATGTTTGAGGACGTGAGACAGATTGTTTTTCATTTGTAACCGGTGCCGGTGAACTACTAGCTTTTTCCATATCAACATCCATTGGCTAAATAAATTAGTTTTGTATTTTATTAATAGGAAAAAAAGAGAGTCAAACCTGAGATACTGATTGTGCAAATCCAAGTAGAATTTCTCGTTCACTTGAAGTTGAACCATAATAGAATAAAATGAGACGACGAATAACATCTTCATTTAAACGTTTTCGTGTTGAAGCAAGTCCACGTAATACACGAAGAATAAAACGAGGTTCTTTAGAATTAACTGCTTTCTCTATTGTACGTACTTGTTCTTTAATATCTATTTTAGAGAAAAAAAAATGAAAGTTAATTATAAAAATAATTAAATCAAACCATCAAGTGTTAAAGTATCTGCATCTTTTTTTTCGTCTTTTGAGACTGTTGTTGTACTAGTTGGATTTGATCCATTTGATGGATCAACTTCTTTCATTTCAATATCATGTAATTCAACCATAATTGATTGTTTTCAAATAATAAAGTCGTACTCGTACGTTTAGGTTATGAACGATAACGATGAGTCAACAAATAAACAAATACTTTTGTTAATTGGTTGATATTCGAACATTAGTTAGGAAGTATATCAAAAGAGGGCGTTAAAAAAGAGTTTATAAAATGATTTTTGTTTTAATAAATAATTTAAATTATCTAGAGAAAGTATTTAGAAAAAATTTTATTAAATAAAAATATGTTTTTTTCAACAATAGAGGACATCGAATTGATCCATAGTGTAATAAAACGATTAGGTTAGATGGATGTTTGTGGCTTTTCATTCATTCATTCATTTATTTATTTGGGGTGGTGATGGTCAGTTGTACAATTTGAATCTATTTTAAAATAACAGCTATGATGAGTTAATTTGCGTTTGATCCAATCGGTCTCTGGACACATGCCTGCGTTCACTATAGAGTCGGTTGTGGCCTGAAAACAAACTATTACTGAGCTGTTTATTATTTATACTAAATTTTAAAAAAAATTTTAAAATTATTTTTCTCTCATGATAAATTAATTGAATTATCAAAAGATGATTTAAAAAAAGCATATACGAATATTTTTTCATTATAAAAACAATTCAAAATAAACATAAACTGTAATGATAAAAAGCAAAATATGAATAATAATGCAATCTTTGGATTTTCTTTTCTCATTCTTGTGAAAAATAAACACATAAAGTTAATTGTGTATATATAGTTTATATGTATAACCAGTGAAGCTACTGAGCGGATGGTATTTAAAGTTTTGTTACTAAGTATATATCGAAATTATAGTCTCTTATTAACGTAACACTAGTTTCTGATTTAAATTGTACCTTTGTAAAAACTTAGCTTATTGTTTACCGTCACTTTCGTATTGAATATTCTTCGTATTCTTTCAATACTATAACATAATGCATCAATATTGTTCATTATAAAACTTCATCTATCTTCAAAATTACTATTTAGTGTGAAAAGTTTCAATAAACAATCCTTTATCTTTGCCATTGTAATGAAAAATTTTGAATATTGATAAAGTTTAAAATAAATGATGGTTGCCATTAGATTCTTAGCACACACAATTCAATCGATTGTATTGATACGATCTTTTTCTTTCTGTTATTTTTCATTATTTTTTTTTTCTTTTCTTCAAATCTACGCATGAGTTTTTTCATTGACGTATGTCATTATTTTACATCTATAACAGTTACGCATTGTTTTCAATTAATAATAATGAAATATCATTATAGATTCGGATTATATATATTATCTAAATTGTATCAGTTATCAATCTGTTTGCTCACACCATCTATTCGAATGTAGATATCAATGGTGAATTAGATTAACTAATGCAGTCAACTATCTCGATATGTGATAACAAGTATTATACCCAATATTTTCATCTTATCAAAACATTCTCTTACAATAGTATTAGAACTAGATTCAATTGACAGGAATACATGATTAATAAGTATTGTTGACATATCTAAATAGAAATGTCTTGTTTATTTTTCAGAATGGCAGAGAAAACATTCGATGATATTAGAACTCAGTTTGAACAGGTTTGTTCAATATATTTCAAAAAACTAATTAGTCAAGATTCTATTTCTCTTTTCTTACCCTATAGTTTCTTTCATTAGTTAGTAAAGTTCTTGTACATGAAAAAGAAATAAATCTATTACAAAATAAACTTCGTCGTCATTTTAATTCAACATTATCATCTTATTTATGTTCAGCCGATTTTCAAGTAACACTAAATGATCTTTATGATAAATTTAGCAGGAACGATAATTCAACGAAATATTTTAAATTATTATCTTCATTCGATGAACAACTAAAGAAACATTCTATCAAATTAATACGGTAAGAAATACCTTTATATTGACTTTTCTATCTTGTAGTAATCAATAAAGGTCAAGTTTTTCGACAATTTGTAGCTTGTAACTATTTGCTTTCTTTTCTTGAGCATTACTAGTCGAGAGTATCTATTAGAGCAATCAAAACAGTTTTCAGGTAGAGTTTTTCGCGAAAACTCTAAATTTGAAGCACACTTCACTAAAGCATCAATAAATTATTTTCTCTTTTCTTTCTACTTCAGGTCATCTCAACAATTACCTCCTAGTTCTTCTCTTCATACTACTAATTCACGGCAGACAATTACATCCGCATGTGAAAAAACTGTAATTATATCATCGAATACAATAGCTCTTAGTTTATCATCATCAACTACTAATGAATATAGTATAATAACAACTGAACAAACTTTTGATTCATGCAATAATATTTTTACAGTACTCGATGAATCTCAATTACCAAATAAAAATACCGAATCAAAAATGACTACAAATACAGTGAATAGTAATAATGAATATGAAATAAAACAAGAGAAAAAAATTCGTAAATTAGAACGACGATTAAATAGTTTATCAAAAATGATACGTCAATTAGAAGAAAAAGATATGTCATTAGATGAAATGGAAAATTGTGATTTATATAAAGTAGAATCAAGTCTAAAAAAACGAGCTTGTGATGTAATATTCATTGTATATTTTAATAATAGATGATCGAATATGATTAAAATAAATTTAGATGTATATGAGACTTGCTCAATTAAAAAAACAGTCAACATCTACTGAAAGAATTCTTGATCAACCAGTTACTTTAACAGGTTAATATCGATTTACTTAAACATTTTGTTTTCTCAAAAATCTATCAATAAGTTTAGAAACTGATATTGATTATCCATTGATAAATAAAGCACTTGAAGATATGATTAATCGAACAAAATATTTACCATCATTTCAAGATGTTCTTGATATAGTAAAGAAAACGAATAATCAATATAAACTTAATCTTAGGTATAATAAAACTTTGACTTGGAATATTTTTGTTTTGTTAATTTAAATTTTATTCTAGTATTGATGCTGAAAAAGATCTTGCCACAAAATCATTTAAATTAATTGGTAAAAAAGTTAAAGATCGACGAATGGCAGATTTTAATGATATTATGTACAGTCGTCTTCCAGAAAATTTCGAGTATATTTTTTCGAACAAAGACTTTTCTTTATTTCTAATTGATTATTTTTCTTTTTAGTATTGAACGAAATGATCCAGCATTAAATAGTTCTGCAATTGAGAAAGTCTTAATTGAAAACGAACGTAAAGCTGTAGTTAAAACTGAAAAAGTATAATGAAATGTTTTATTTCTCAAACCAATTCATAATATTCTATATGTAGATTTTCAATGAATTTTCTCAAATGAATCCAGAACTAGAACCAGAAGAAAATATTGAAACAGAAGAATCAACTGTTGAATCTGATAATGATGATGATGAAGACGAGCAAGAGCCGCTTATTAAATCATCGAATAATAAAATGCATCCAACTCACTATGATATGGTTGATATTCTCCCTCCTTTATGTAAGTATTTACCAATCGAATATAAAAAAATATCTATGTTTCTTTTTATCTTTATAAGCATCAAGATCGTCATCTCCTGTATCAACACCTGTAAATAAAACAACAGCCGGTGAAGATTTTTTAGAAGCTAAAGTCAATATTTCACTTAATAGTACTAAAGAAACACAACCTATTATTCTCAAACCTGAGAATCAAGTACAAACAATTATACCTCGACGACGACAACAACAACTTACATCTAATAATATAACACTCTATAATCAAATAACTGATAATACTAAAAAACGATCAATATCAAAAGATATAATGTCCTCCGAATTAAAAAAACGTAAAGATCAACCTGAAATTGTTGTACTTGATTAAACAGTGATTTATTTTTATTATAAAAAATTATTCTATATTTTTTGTTTTTATGTTTGTATATAACGGCCAAATATCATTTTTGTTATAATCAGTCTTCAGATTTTCGGTTCTTCCTATATTTTATATATATATGCCTGTTGTTTATTTTTAATTATAGAAAATATTATTGAAAAATGATACATGATCTTGTTTTTTTAAATGGTCGAGTTATTGATCCTGAAACAAATTTAGATGCTATACGATCTATTGGTATAGTTGATGGATTAATTGAATCAATTAGTGAAGAAATTTTAAAGGGAAAAGTAGAAATTGATATTTCAAATTTAGTTATTTGCCCAGGCTTTATTGATGTTCATTCACATGAACATAGTGATGAATATTATGCATTGAAATGTCAGGATGGTGTAACATCAGTATTTGAATTAGAAGTTGGAACAAATGATATTGATCAATGGTATGCTGAGAGAGAAAATAAAACTTTAGTTAATCATGGAGTAGCTATTGGACATATTCAAGTACGAATGAAAGTATTTAAACATCCACCAGGTTTTTTACCACAAAGTGATTCACCGGCAGCATTACAAGCAGATAAACTTGATCAGATAAAAAATGAACTTGAATATGGTCTTCAACGTGGTGCTATGGCAGTCGGTTTTGGTATTCATTATGTTCCAGCATCAACACGATGGGAAATTGTTGAATGTTTTCGTTTAGCAAAAAAATATAATGTTTGTTGTCATGTTCATATGCGTCATTTTGGTGCACAAGAAATAAATGGAAGTTTAGCTGCACTTGAAGAAGTTCTTGCTCTAGGAGCATGTACACAAGCTGCGATTAATGTTTGTCATGTACATAGTACTTGTTTAGCTGTAACAGATAAAGCACTTGAACTTATACATGATGCACATAAAAATGGAATGGATATAACAACAGAATTTTGTAAGTTATTTTTATTGATATAATGAAATTTGAAATACAGAAATTTTGTATTTTAGATCCTTATTTAGCTGGCTGTAGTTCTATTGACTCTACTTTATTTAAAGATGATTTATGGCAAGAACAATTAGGTATAAGTTATGATTGTTTGACATATGTGAATACAGGAGAATCATTAGATGCAATTACTTTTGCTAAGTATCGAAAAGAAGGTGGATTAATTATTATTAATTCAATACCAGAACAAGCTGTTATTGATTGTCTTCAAAGTCCAATTACATTGATGGGTAGTGATGCACTTCGTGGTCATCCACGTGCAGCTGGTTCTTGTTCACGTGTTCTTGGTCATTATGTTCGTGAACGTGGTATAATAACAGTAATGGAAGCTATTCGAAAAATGTCTTTACTACCAGCACAAAGATTAGAAAGTGCTTCATCACAAATGAAAACTCGAGGTCGTATTTGTAAAGGTGCTATTGCAGATTTATGTATATTTGATCCAATGACAATAAAAGATTGTGCAACATATGATCAACCAAAACTTCCTTCACAAGGAATAATACACGTACTTATTAATGGAACATTTGTTGTTCGTAATAGTAAACTAGTCATGATAGATAAGGATACAAAACCACCAGGTCAAGCTATTCGTGGTGTTATTCGTAATTAGATAAAAAATGTGATTTTTATGAAATGTGTTTTTTTTAATGTAATTTTCATTTAGATAAAATTCTGTATTGATTTAATCAATAGATAATGTAGTGAATAATATTAATTATAATTGTTTTAAGAATAAAAAAATTCAGATTAGAATAAAATCTTTTAAATAAGATAGATTAAAAAAATACATAGTTCTATTTCTATTTATTGAAAAAAAAGATAGTAATATAAGGTAAAAGTGTCACTGTCTTCATCGAATCGATTGTTGACAAGGTGTTCGTTGAATAATATGTACAGTTGGTTGAGATGACATAGTTGTTTTTATTGGTGCTATTACAACTGGTTGAATTATATTTCTTGCATTACTACAATTAGTCACAAGAGACTGTAATAAACTTTTAAAATGTTTACGAATAGTACTACTAATGATTAGAAAGAGATAAAAGTGCATAGCATGTGTACATGTTGATAGCAGACCAAATGCATCATTCAATGTATATAATGTACGAATATTAGTATCGAGAATAATTGAAAAATTAATAAGAAGTTTCAAAAAACTATATGGACTAACAATAAATAATGAAATCATTGAAGTAATTACAAGCATAATTGATAATTGTTTTTCTCGTCGTTTACTTGAACTATTAATTGTTATAACTCGAGCTCTTGCTTTTTGAATATAATATAATATAAGAATATCACCTATAAGCATACATATACAAGGTACAATAGCATAAATACATAAATCAATAATTGAATAAATTTGAGTTATATCCGGATCAATAATAAGACAATATTCTATATCATCTTCCGGTGATAAAAATAATTGTGAACCAAATAATAGAGAATTCATTGCAATAAGTATAGAGAAAAAAACACCTAAACAAATATATTGAAAATGTTGTCGACGAGTAAGAACTCGAACATCAAAATAGCCATGTGCTATTTTAAATGTTGTATATAATCGATCAAACATAGCTAATACAAGCATACCAACAGCTGCTTGTGATGAACTATAGTAAACAACAACAAATAGTTTACATAATATTGTTGAACGATTAGAAAATGATGTATAAGATAATTCACCGAATAATCGATTTACTACCCAACAAAATAAAGTTAATTCATCAAATATTGCCATCAATAAAAAATACAATGAACATGAATATTTACGCATAGCAGAATTTTGAAATAGAAGTATACCAAAACTATTTCCAATTGTTCCAATAATTAGCAAAAGAAATAAATAGGGTACCATCCATTTATCATTTGCCCATGTATCGTCATCCTCAGATTCAGTTGGTGTTGAATTCATGATAGTATTATCCATAACCAAAAAATGTAATGAAACTTTTAATAATACAGATTTATGAACTACATATATATATATATTGATAAGAAAGAGTGATAATTAAAAAGATTTATATCGTTTTACTTTTATTAAGGATAAAAAGTTGAGCTATTTATTTGTTAATAAACTTGAATGATTAAAATAAATCAAAAGTTTATCAATAATACTTGAAAGGAAATAGTTGATTACAGTACTCCCTAGTCAAGCAAATGACATACTTGAACAAGAAGGTCATGCACTGTGAACACATCTTGAGATCAACCGCATGAACAAAGAAGTTCAACTAGGGCTATTTATTTATATATTTAAGCGAAGTGCATATGAAATCATGATTTTAAATTATCGATAAATAATATTTGTAATTATGATCATATTCGAAGAATAAAATCTTTATTTTATATCAAATAAATACTATGAGAATATTTAATTAAAAAATTATTTTTGTAGATTGATTCGTTATAGACATATTTATTATTATCATATAAATCATTATAGCCAAGTTCTATATAAGTACATTCATAAATCACCAGTACTACTTAGAACAGATATATGTAAACTATTATATTTCTTTTTCTTCTTACAACAAGATGAAAATAAAAATAATTTTTTGAAAATCTGTAATGACTCAATAGACAGAGACAGTTACTATTATTTTACAATGATTCTTTTCATAGGTAACGCGAATGTTATTCGCTGTTAAAATTCATCGCAGAACACACTCATTCATTCATTTTCATGTGCCAATTAATATAGGTACAAAACGTATTTATTCAAAAGATAAACCCATAAGGCTTTATTCTATATTTTCATAACTACATAATTCATAAGACATAAAAACGTTGCTACAACAAAATAATGTTGATCAACCATCTTTCTGAATAAAAAATCTTCTAAGAAATAAGAAAATCATTGTTTTGATTGGTTCGTTAATATTTACCAATTAAATATAATTCTAGATCCTCTTTGTATATATAAACTAAAATGTCATATATATCGTTCTGATCAGTTCATTTATCTCTTTGTTAGTAATAAACATATTGTTAGTGTTAAAATTAGATTATTTTCAACTAAATATAAATTATTTTTGAAAATAATAATATTTTTATTTTTATTCTATTTTCAGTAACAAATCCTATTAAACCAATAAATGACTTAAGATTTTAACGAAACAAAAAACTTCAACAATTTTATTTTATTAATTAACTAAAAAAACCGAAAAATTTAAATTAAAAAATTTTTTTCATCATGCCTTTGGCTATTGATGTTGGCCAACGCGTACTTGTTTATAATCCTTCACATGGATGGACAATGGCATATTTCGTTCGTGCACAGCAAACACATGATAATAAACTTCAAATATTAGTAAATATTCAAAAAAAAAATGAAATTAAATCTATAAATTTCTTTCTTTTAGACATGTCGTTTATCGAATTGTCATCATAAACCAACTTCACAAGATCATTATCGTTATCCACCTGAACGTGTAGCTTTAAATGATCAAATAAATGATCAAATCAATGTTGGTACACGTGTACTTTGTATGCCAAGTGGTGATGCTGATACATCAAGATATATTGATAAACCATTACGTGGTATTATAGCTGAACAACCATCAATTGAAAATGATCAACGTTTTTTAATATTTGCTGATAGTGATTCACCATTTTATTTACGTTCAAATGCAATTCGATTATTACTTGAACCATTATCAAATTATTTATCTAAAGTTGATTTAGGTACAAAACAATATATAGAAAATTATGTATTAACATATCCAAAACGACGTCTTGTTAATGTATCTGTTAAAGATCATATTAATATTGAATTAAATGGACAATGGATAAATGCAATTGTATCAAAAGTTGATGCAAGTCTTATGCGTGTATTTTTACCTGTATTAAATAAACATGAATGGCTTTATCGTGGTTCATTACGTCTTCAACCATTATTTAATTCATTATCATCCTATGAACCACCATGTAAACGTTTTGCATCTGATAAACAATCAATAGTAAATAATAATAATAAATGTCATTTTCTTTTAATACCATTAAATTATGGATGGAAACGTCAAATACGTAATGATCTTGGTACAATTGTATATGTTTCACCATGTGGACAAATGTTTACTGATGGTGAACGTTTACATGGATATCTTTATCAAATTGATTCACCATTATCAATACGGCAATTTACATTTGATATGAATTGTCGTGTTATACAAAAATTCATTTCACCAAATACAGCATTTGTTAATCTTGAAGATTATGCATTAGGTAAAGAAAAAGTACCATTAATGTTAGTAAATGAAATTGATTCAACATTACCCAAACAATTTGAATATATAACAGAACGAATACCATATACATCAGATATTATTATTGATAAAGATAATACTAAAGGTTGTTCATGTCTAGATGGTTGTATTGATACAACAAAATGTGCTTGTTGGCAAAAAACATATGATTCAATTATACAATCACATTATTATGAAGATTTAATTGGTTCATTAAAAGAAATATTTCGTCAATCAATAGATGAGGATGATGATAGTAATGATCATACAGATGAAATGAGATTTTTTCTTTATGATGCATTATCAAAAAGAAATTTTGGTTATAAACATGGACGATTACTTGAAAAAATTCATTCAGGTATATATGAATGTAATGATAAATGTAAATGTGATTCACGTTGTACAAATCGTTGTGTGCAATTTGGTTTAAATACTCTATTACAAATCTATAATACATCGGAGAAAGGTTGGGGTGTACGAACATTATATGATTTACCGGCGGGTACTTTTCTAAGTTTTTATACTGGAGAAATACTCAATGATGAAGATGCTAATCGACGTGGTGTTGATAAAACTAAGGGTGATGTTTATTTTACAGCATTAGATTTTATAACTTCACTTAAACCAACATTCTTACAGAAAAAACCAAGAACAATTATTCAGCAAGGTATGAATTTTCAAAATAAACTTCTGGAAATTATATTTATTTTGTTTTAGATCAAACTGATGAACAAATCAATATTCATCATGGAGATTCTCAATTATTTTCTGATGAATTATTAGAAACTCAACATAATAGAAGTATGTTTTCATTAATAAAAATATTTCAAAAGAAAAAAATTTATTCTTTAGATAAACATCTATCTATTGAAGAAAAAAGTAAAGGATTATCTAGTTATCAACAAGCAAATTATGATTTAGGAGTATTTGTTATGGATGCTCATTTTAAAGGAAATGTATCACGATTTTATAATCATTCATGTTCACCGAATGTTTTTGTTCAAAATGTATTTATTGAAACATGGGATGTACGATTTCCGTGGGTAGCTTTTTTTACAACATCAAATATTAAAGCTGGTACCGAACTTGTATGGGATTATTCGTATGAAGTATGTTGATAATTTTCTCTTCTTTCAAACTATTATTGAAATACTTGATTTTGTTTTTAGGTTGATACAGTGGAAAATCGTGAATTACATTGTCGTTGTGGTTCAGATGAATGTCGTCATCGATTACTTTAATTTTTTGTTTGTTTTTTTTATAGTGTTTTTTTCTTTTCTTCCATCTTGTTGATGTACTGTTGTCTGTCCCTATTTAGAGAAAACAAATTTTGTTGTCTCTTTTTTTGTGTGAGATATTGTATAGAGAATGCATTAAAAACCAACATGAAAAAAAAGACAAAATTTATAGTCGTATTTATTATTAAAAAAAAAGAGTAATTGATGAACATTTGTCTATAGATATTTACAAAACTAACTTAAAAACATCTATATTATAATGTGAATTCATATAACTGTTGTGAGTTCTTGTTTTCTAAAATATTTTTCTCAGTTAAAAAATAAAAATGATGGTTTTAGTAGTTAAACAAAGATAAGATATATATATACAATTAGCATTCATTGTTCAATCATAATGTTTACAATTAAATGTAAGAAAAAAACTCCATGCCCATATATATATATATTGAATCAGAAAGAATAAACAATAGAAAAGAAACTTTTTACATTGTCATGAGATTGATGAATATATTGACCTTCACGATGAAACCTTTTTGAATAAATTATTACATGTCATAATTTCATCTATTACAAACGGCTTCGCGTTTATTTTAAATAGAATTGTTTTGTTTTATATGAATACATCATTTCACGATAAGAAGTCAATTTTATGTTATCGGAAATAAACAGTTATTTTCCTTACATACCAAAACAAGTTTTTTTTAAGTTTAAAAATGAAGTACTCTGTAGGTATGAGAGAATTTTTGTACGATTTAAAAACAAAATATTTTTTTCATAATAAAAAATACACTTGAATAAAAGGATGATGACGCAGTGAATTTGATCCTTTTTTTAGTTTATTTTCGTTGCTCAGTGATTCAAAAAAACATTTCGATATATATATAATGTGATAAATATTCAAAAGCACATGTCTGAAATTGATAGGAAATAAAAGAAAGTTTAAAAACAAATTAGAAAAAGAAAAATCAGATAGTATTGTTGTAAACAGCAAAATCTATTGTTGACAGAAAGCATTTTGAAACTTCAGAAGAAGGCGTTAATGTGAATGCTAAAAAAATAAGAAAAAAAAACGAGAAGAAGAGAGAGAAGAAAGGTAAAGCAAAGTGAGAGAAAAGAAGAATCAAATATTTCAATCATTCAACGTCCTGTTGTTGTTACAAGTGTGTAGTGTAATGTTGTAGAAAAGCAAGTTATACAATGCCAGTTGCTCCATCAACAGCAGGGAAAGCGCCATCCTCGGCAGTAGGTCGTCGTCCGACGGGTACCACTAAAGTATGTCAATAAAATAAGAATAATATATAAATTTTTCTTATTTACTTAATTAAATTTATGTATATTTTATAAGGGAACACCACGAGCGGGTGGAACACCTGAAAAACGTACACCACAATCATCACGTGCTGCTACTGCTAATGTTAGTCATCAAACTAGTCCAACAAAACAAATTCAAAAATCAACAAATGAAATCGAAATTGATATTCCTGAACGACCACGTCCACGTCCACCTGATCCAACATTATTTATTCGAGCTGGTACATCTGGTGTTCGACATCTTTATCCTATACATTTAATTGATAATGATACGAATCTTGGAGCATTTACACGTTCAATATCTCGTTTAAGTTCTCGTACACCCTCAACAGATATATGTACAAATGTTGATATGATACGTAATGTTTGTTCATCAATAACAACATTACAACATTTTGATGTAAGTAAAAATGATTTAAAAGATTTACCATCTGATCTTAGTTCACTTATTGATCTTGAATCATTAAATTGTTCACATAATCAATTAACTGATATAACGGATTCATTAGAACAATTAAAACATCTTAAAGAAGTTGATTTATCATTTAATCTTTTAACTTCAATACCAAATGTTATTTTTACATTAAAATCATTAATCAGACTTAATTGTGAACATAATTGTATAACAAAAATTGATAATGATTTATTAAATTTAAAACGTTTAAAATTTCTTGTTTTGGATAATAATCAATTAGATTTATTACAAACAATTGATTTTGGACAATTAAAAAAACTTGAATATATTCATATAGCACATAATCAATTATATCGATTTCCACGTGGTTTACATCGTTTACATCATTTAAGAAATGTTAATTTATCATATAATCGTTTAACAACATTTCCTATTGATCTTCTACTTGTTAGTACACTTGATGTATTAAATCTTAGTCATAATTTAATTATAAAAATACCACCAATGCCTATTGCATATAAACGTGCAACAATGATATTTTCAATTGATTTATCATTTAATCAATTAACAAAATTTTATGATTATTTACTTCTTATTGCAAGAAAAATAGATGTATCAAATAATAATATACATATACTTTCAAATGATTTAATTAAAAAATTGAAACATGATATAATAACAACACGAGAACTTAAAATACATAATAATCCAATAGGACAACCTATTGTACCATCGGAAATGTTAGATGAAGAGTATTCGAAGACAATTAATGTACTTCGAACAATAAAACTTTGTCTTGAAGAACAAGCAAGTGATCCGCATACTCGGCAAGGTTTTAAATTGTCTATTATCGGTCCAAAAAATAGTGGTAAAACAGCATTAGCAAATTGTCTTGAAGAAAATGCACCATTAACAATTAATGAAAATGAAGAAGAAGTACAAGAAAGAATTGTTCATGGTTAGTAAATTATTTAAAACAAAAAAAAATTTGATTTTTTGACACAACTTAGATAAATATTTGTTAAATAAGTCACCTATGTTAGAAAAATATTCTTTCATTCTTAATTTATAGTTCATCAATATTCATTTCGAGTGATGACAGCAACTGATGATACATCAAAATCGCCTCCAGCGACAACTGCACCACCAACAACAGGAAAACCAGGAACTCCTTCAAAACCAAACACTACTGAATCATCTAAAATACAATCTCAACGTTCTGTAACAAATACACGTAAACGAACAAATGTTCCCGCTCCATTATCTAAACTACCTGGATCAAGAACGAATTCACCTAAAACACCAGTTCCACCACCGCCACCAACTCCAATATTACCACCAGAACCCATGAAATTTCTTCCATTAACAATATTTGATTTTAATGGATCATCAGAATATTATCAACATATGTCACCATTTATCGATACGAATGCTCTTCATCTTATTTGTATTCATACAGCTGATTTTCATCAAAATACTCCTTCAAATATTGAAGATATATTTAATGGTACATTTGATATTTCATCATCGATTGTTATTACACAATTATTTCAATTATTACAACTTCTCTGTGAAAAAGCAACTAAAACACGTGCAATTATGATATTACCTGTTGCTACATGTATTGATCTATATGATACACGACCAAATGAAGACAAGTGCGTTTAAATCTATTTAATTATTTCGTAAATAAAACAAGAATTTATCTTTTAGAATTGAAGTTTTAGATAAAATAAATAAATTCTTTAAATTTTATTTACAATATCGTGTTGATAGAATAAAACAGGAGATGGAATTAATCCATTCACTTCCAACAATTTCATCATCACTTTCTGATCGTCTTAAAACATTTTTAGCGTTACTTAATATTCACATACAAATTGAATCATGTCATTCAATAAGTTCATTAACATTTCAAGGTATTGATGAACTCAATCGAATTATTCAACATAGTGTATTAACACAAAAAACAATATTTCCACATGTTGATCGAATATTACCAACACTTTGGGCTGAAGTAAATCAATATATTGAATCTTTGGCTGATGTATTACCTGTTCCATATATTTTATGGGATGATTTTGCTAATCGAATAGTTACGAAACATGGTCTACCACATTTACTCAATGATATAGCTGCATCTGTACGTGATGAAGGAAAAATTTTAATATTAAATGAAGTTGGAACAATAGATCGTGTTGTTTTTCTTCGACCATCATGGTTAACTGATCTTTTATATAGTATATTTCGTGATGATATATTAACAACATATCTTGATTATGAAAAAAATGAATTATTTTCATTAAGTAATCTACCTGAAGCACGTTTTCAAGCATATAAAAATGAATTGATTCAAAATGGTCTTTTACATTCGGAATTACTTCGTTCATTATGGTTTAATTTATTATATAAAAAAGAACATTTTCATCATTTATGGTTAACAATAATGAGATTTGTATTAGTTGCTTATCCAAAAATGAATAAAACACAATTAAAACGTTTTGTTCATGTTGATATACCTGATCCATTTTCGAAAGGAGCAAATAGTTATAGTCGTTTAATTGATTTAAAACCAAATGTTGATGAACGAGACGAAATTAAATTTGATTATGCTGTTGTACCTTATTATTTACCATTTAGTAATCAAAAAGAACAACAAGATGAATTAAAACGTTTTAATAATCGTTTAAAAAATATTATTAGTATTCGTTATAAAAGTCAATCATTACCACTTGGATTTTTTCATCGATTTTCTGTTTCATCTATATTAAGATTAGATGTTATTTATAAGAAACATTGGAATGATTTTATTGTAGGTGAACATGAAACTAAAGATACGAGGTAAATAAATAAATAAATATTCAATTTTCTATTTGATAATAGATTTGTTAAATAGATTTATTATGGAAACAGATCATCGTACATATATTAAATGTCATTGTGGTACAAGTAATCTAGAGAAACCATTTGAAGAAATTTGGAGTTTACTTATGCTTATACTTAATCATTGCGAAGAAATGTTTCTACAGACAGCCCCTAGTAAGATTAAATTAGAGTATTAGAAAACCTATCATAATAATGATTTAATTAAGGTAATAAATTTGATCGATCTGTTCAATGTTCACATTGTAAAGAATTTTCATTTATGGTAATTATTATTAAATATTTTATTGTTTAAGTCATTATTTGATTTCTTAAGGGTGAATGGACAACACCAAAAGAATTACAAGGTATAAAAACAAAAGCATGTCCATCGTGTGGTGAGAATATTGATACAGCTCGTCTAGTACAACCCAATGAAAGAAAACGACGAAGTATGAATGAAAATATTATATTTTTATTTATTAATCGAGTTTTAATTTAGGTGAAGAACTTTTAAGACGAATTCGTGAACGACGTGAAAAAAATGTTGCTAAATTGGCAGAAAATGCATCTCAAGCATCACAACTATCACCATCAACTTCAACGACTACTCAAATATTAGTACCACCCGTGTGATATCTATTCAATCTTCTTCTTTTACTTCATAACAATTTGATCTTGCAATCAAAGTTTTTAATCTTTATCTGAACTACTCGGTGTGTTTATTGTACTTTTGAAATAATGAATAAAAGAAGAAAAAAAAAAGAAACGATTACGTGTATATGGTCAGTCTTTATACTAATGGTAGTCTCGTACTTTTTTTCTTTCTTATTCGATATACGTATATATATATATGTATGTGTGTGTGCATGGGTATATATAATAATACATGTACTGGGTCAGTTATCGTCCATCATTTTTCTGCGGTTGAGTGGATGATTGGTACGTTCGTTCAATCTCTCCTACACTCCGAGTTTTTTTCTTCTTTTTACGCATTGATGATGATGCTTGCCTTTCTCCTCGTCTATGTGTTAACGAAAAAAGAAGTAAGAGAACAGAGTCATATCTGGTCATGAATGAACGCAATATCTCTACGTTAGTAGACGTTCAATAGTCATAAGAGTAATCGTGGTGGGAAGAGAAAAAAGCTTTTGTGTCTGTGCGTATTACGCGAATAGAAAGAGTGCAAAAAAAATCAATCTTTATACTACGAAACTTCATGCCGTAATCAAAACTAGTGTGAACATTAACACTCTTTATACACATAAATACGGCAAGCGTCTTTTTTTTAATCGTAATTTAGAGGCAACAATGACAGTGTATGGTGTTTTTACAATAAATAGAAAATTATTCTTCATATGTTTAATTATACTCGGTGAATTGTCGAATGTTGTTTCGACACAAAAAAGTGGATCCAATTCAAAATCTGCAACAACACGTTCTACGCCAAAAAAAGTTACAACAACAAAAAAACAACTTGAAATTTTAACTCCTCCTCCGATTGTTATTGAAGAACAAACATGTTATAATAAATCTACTGGTGATGCAATTCGTTGTCTACCAGAATTTGTTAATGCAGCATTTCGTCGACCAGTTATTTCATCAAATACTTGTGGTGAACGTTGGCAAATTGATTCAGCTAATACTGGTACTGAATATTGTATTCAAACAGGTCCACCACAAAGTGCAATGTTCGGAGATTATTTATCAAATAATGAACAAAAAAATTGTCTAGTATGTGATAGTCGTGATCCAACACAAGCTCATCCACCTGATTATCTGACTGATTTTAATCAACGAGGAAATCTTACATGGTGGCAAAGTGAAACAATGCTTGAAGGAATTAATTATCCAAATACAGTTAATTTAACTCTTCATCTGGGTAAGAATTCTTTTCTTAATAAAAAAAACAGAAAGGCAAATTTGAGTATCTTTTAGGCAAGACTTATGATGTTACATATATTAAATTAACATTTCAATCACCTAAACCAGAGAGTTTTATTATATATAAACGTACAAATGAAAATAGTTCATGGATACCATATCAATATTATAGTGCATCATGTATGCTAACATTTGGATTACAACCTAAGAAATATCCTGATTTTGATACAGAAGCTATTTGTTCAGAAGATTTTAGTGATTTAACACCATTACATGGATCAGAAGTAGCATTTGGTACACTTGATTGGAGACCAGGTGCGGTTACATTTGAAATGCGTAATGATCTTCAAGTAAACATAATTTATTATTCAACAAAAATATTTGTTAAATTGAAAAATAATTTTTTTAGGAATGGGTAACAGCATCTGAAATTCGTATTCAACTTATTCGAATGAATACATTTGGAGATGAAATGTTTGGTCAACCTGCAGTATTACGAACATATTTCTATGCTATATCAGATTTAGCTGTTGGTGGACGGTAAATATATAGATTAAAGATATCTTTAGTTTTTTTTTAAATTATTATAGTTGTCATTGTAATGGTCATGCAAATAAATGTACGAAGAAGGGTGGTGTGCATAAAAATGAAACTCGATGTGAATGTGAACATAATACAATCGGGCGAGATTGTGATATGTGTCATTCAGCTTATAATGATGCACCATGGAAAGCAGCTGGAGTTATAGATGCACATCCATGCAAAGGTTTATTTAATTATTTATTATTATTAAAAATAACTTTTTTTTTTCTATTTATTCAGCTTGTGTCTGTAATGGCTATGCTAAAAATTGTACATTTAGTCGAGAATTATATGAACGTACAGGACATGGTAGTGTCTGTATTGATTGTGCTGGTAATCGCGGTGGACCTAACTGCGAAAGCTGCAAATTAGGTTTCTTCCGATTACCGAATACAGAAGGCGAATGTTCTGCTTGTGGGTGTGATCCTATTGGTAAGTTTAACTGACATATATAAATCATAAAACATTTATCATATTTAATGAATATATATATATAGGCTCTGAAAGTATTCAATGTGCAACGGATGGTCGATGTCGATGTAAACCGGGTGTTGTTGGTGATAAATGTAATCAATGTGCACCATATCATTATAATTTTGGACCAAATGGTTGCACGTATGTGAATTTTTATTTTTAATTTTTGTCTATTATTGTTTTATTTATTCGTTTATATAGACGATGTACTTGTTTTGAACCAGGTTCATCACAACCACTTCAATGTAATTCGAAAACTGGTCAATGTTCTTGTAAAACACATGTTGAAGGACAGAATTGTGACAAGTAATTATTATTAGATTTATTATTTTAATTTGATTATTTTTCTTTGATAAATAGATGTCGACCAGGTTTCTTCAATTTGGATGCTACTAATCCAGATGGTTGTACAAAATGTTTCTGTTATGGACATGCTTCAACATGTCAATCAGCACTGAATTATTATTATAATCCAATTCGATCTTCATTCTCCCAAGGTATTCTTCAATCGAATTTGAAAGTGTTAAATCTATAAAATAATAAATTAATTTGTATTAGGAGCGGATGGGTGGCGAGCAGTTAATCAAACAAGACACGAAGCACATGTTTATAGTGATATGGGTAGTTATATTTATGTACAATCATCACCTGGTCAAGATCTAACATTTGAAGCACCAGGTAACGATATATTTTATCTGATAATTGATTTTATTAACATAAGTTTTTATTTAAGCTCAATATTTGGGTGATCGTACTTTGTCTTATAATCAATTTTTAACATTTATATTAATTTTACGTGCACCACCGAATGTTAATCGTATGTATACACATGCTGATGTAGCAATTGAAGGTGCCAATGGAATAAAAGTTGGTGTTGTTATTTATGGTGGTGTACCACAAACAATTCCATCAGAAGAACCGCTTACATTTCGATTTAGGTAAAGATAATTCTTTAATAAATTTTTATTTTCAATTCTCTTCTTTAGATTGAATGAACAATCTTGGTCACCAACATTACCTTTCCTTGATTTTATGCGTTTACTATCGAATATTACAGCTATTCGTATTCATGCTACATTTGGTGTTGATAATGCTGTTAGTTTTCTTGGTGAAATAGCACTTGGACATTCTTCACCTTCAGGTGGTCTCTTTCCTGTTGGCAATGTTGAATCTTGTTCACCATGTCCACAAGGTTATTATGGCGAACGATGTGAATATTGTGCTACGGGTTATCGCCGAGAAGTATCATTTGGTGGTCCATTTGCTGGTTGTATACCATGTCATTGTCATAATCATTCATTTTCTTGTGATGTTGAAACGGGCAGATGTGCTTGTCAACATCATACAACAGGTGATAATTGTGAACGTTGTTTACCAGGTTACTATGGCAGTGCACATCGTGGAACACCAGATGATTGTCAAAAATGTCCATGTCCTGCTGGTGTTTCATGTACTCAATTACAATTACCACAAGACCATGTTGTTTGTTTGAATTGTCCAGCTGGATATACAGGTTAATTTCTTGTACCTAAAATGTAGTTTATTTATTTATTTATTTAAGGTGATCGATGTGAATATTGTGATGATGGTTATTTTGGTGATCCAGAAGGTCTTGTTACGGGTGTAAGAAGACCTTGTGAATTATGTAGTTGTAGTGGAAATATTGATTCAAATACAATTGGTAATTGTAATACGTAAGTTTAGTTATAATATTTATTTTTTTAATATATTTGGAATTATTTTCTAGAACAACTGGATATTGTTTACGTTGTAATCGTAATACATATGGTGTTTATTGTGAAAAATGTCTTCCGGGACATTGGGGTGACGCTTTACTTGATATTAAATGTCATGGTAAATCGCTTTTATATTACTCTAAAAGGTTAATCGATATTTATGCTATTCAATCTATTTAGCGTGTAATTGTCATCCAAAAGGAACTCAACGTCATAGTGATAATTCTCTTCTTCAGTGTAATTTACAATCAGGTCAATGTTCATGTAAATCGAATGTACAAGGACGTCAATGTGATCGATGTGAAAATGGTTACTGGAATCTTAATTCCGATCGAGGTAGAATCATATAGGAATGAGTTTAATTTGAAATTTATATTCTTTGATAAAACTAGGTTGTGAAACTTGTAAATGTAATCCAATTGGTGCTTATAATATTTCTTGTTCGGTTAATACTGGCCAATGTTTTTGTAAACCAGGTGTAACCGGACAGTATTGTGATCGTTGTCTACCTAATTATTATGGGTTTTCACCTGATGGATGTACATGTAAGTTAATGATTGATTTTATTATATGTTTATATATAAATTGATTTTTAGCATGTAATTGTGATCAATATGGTTCACTTGATGTTCAATGTGATATTGTTAGTGGTCAATGTCCTTGTAAAGAAAATTTCATGGGACAACGATGTGATTTATGTGAAGAAAACAAATACCGAGATGGTTTTGAATGTCCAAGTATGAAGAATAAATCAAAAATGTTTTTTTATTTATTTTCGATTAAAACATAGATTGTCCATCATGCTATCGAGAGGTTCAAAAACGTGTTGATCGTTATCGACGAGATCTTAATGTATTACAAAATGCAATATCAACATTAAATTCCTCTCAAACACTTAATTCATTACGTGAAGATAAACGATTAACAAATGAACTTGATGCATTGGCTACTAATTTAAATCATTTGAAAACTGATTTAAATCGTAATAAGAAAACTTTTTTTTGTTTTTTTAAATATCTATTCGTATTAATTATAGGAGTTGGACTTATTCATCGAAATACATCCGATTATGATCAACAAGATATACAATTTAAATTAAATGTAACTGAATTTGAAGCACGTTATCGTAAATTAGAACGTGAATTACCCGATTTTATCCTACAAAATGATCGTATTCGTGATATTCTTCAAAAATCCAATGATACTTTCTTAAATGATACAACACGTCAATTAAGTAGGATAATAATAGTTTCATTGTTTATCTATTTGCATAAATATTATTTCTTTTTCAGCTCGAATCAATCAATTATTACAAACGATTGCTCCAATGGGTCGTACAAGTAATAATCAACATGAATCTGCTATAAACAAAACGTTATTTATGCAAACACGTATTAATAATATTCGTGAAACATTAAAAACATTACAAAAATCTTATGATGATGCATTAAATCAAAGTCAACAGGCTGAACTTCTCCTTAATACAAAATTAAGTACTTCAGAAGCATTAATTCGTGATCAATTAGAAAATAATATGAAACAACGGTTTGTTACAAAAAAGAATTTGTTTTTTTAAAATTTCGTTGAAAATCTTTTAGTTTATCATCACTTGATCTTCGTCGGCAGAAACTTGTTGAACAAAGTTTAAATCTTGTTAGTCGTTTAAGCGAAGTCAAAACTTCAACAACAGAATGGAAATCAAATTTAACGAAATTATCAATTGATGAATCAAGTCTTACACTTGATTCATCGAATAAACTTCGAGATCGTGTTACGAAAATTTCAGAAGAAGTTAAAAAACTTGAAGATGATATGAAAACATTTGTTAATGAAATGTATAAATTACAAGATATGTCAAAAAATTTTGATCAACAAATAAAATCGCTTCAATTATCTGTTCAAGATGCTAGTCAAGTAAATTAAATAGACAATTATTTTTCTTCTAATTCTATTATTTGATTTATACTAGGAAACTCAAAATTTGTTTAATGAAGTCGATCAAGCTGAACATCAAGCTCAACGTGCTGTTGATAAATCAACTATGATCGAACGTGAAGTACAAAAAATTCGTGAAAATCTTCGTGGTAAATAAATTCATTTAAATAATAAATCCTATTCTTTTTTTCTTAGCATTTGTTCAAGATAAAGATACACAAAGTAAAGATGCCGAAACACAATATAATCGTCTTGATTCAATGCAGATTCGTACACATAATATTACAGAAAAGTATTGGTCAGTTAATAAGGAATATCTTTTACTTAATACAACTATTCATGATGCTATGGAAAATCATACAAAAGTTAAATTCGCTTATGAAAATAATGTAAGAAAAAAAATCTATTTAAATTATTATTATTTTGTTTTTTGAAGAATGCTATGCAAAGTGCCAATACAATTAAAGAACAAGTTGATGCAAAATTAATTCCATTAAAAACTGAAACAGATTCAATTGATAATCGATCATCAATTGCTCTAAGTGAAATAAAAGATATTAAAGCACAAGCGGATATACATGTTCGTCGTATTGAAAAAGCATCGGAAATTGGTAAAAGTTTAACTAATAATATAAATTCTGCTCGTGTTCAAGTTCAAAAATTACTCGAACAACTCAAATCATTACAATCATCATTGAGTATGAATAGAAACGAAAATAAAATAATAGATTTTCATTTAAATTACTTTTTAGATTATTCAACACAAATAAATATAACTGATTTAGATCAAGTTGAAATTGAATTTCAACAAATATCATTAGATAAAGTTCTATTTGGTATTGATCAATTTTATTCAGGTGCTTTTTATATTAAAAATCGAACGGATGAATTTATTCTTCAACATGATCAACTTAATTATCAAGTTAATAATCTACTTGATATAGCACAATCATTACCAACTGGCTGTTTTAAAACTATACCAATTGAAAATAGTGATGGGACACCTAGGGAAAGATAAAAACTAAATTTCATTGTTTCCTTTTTTTCTTCTTTGTTAATGTATTAGTTATTGTAGTGTATTATGATTTTCTTTTTTTTTCATCCTTTTTTTTCCTCTGCTAATCATTAAGATTGGCAATGTATAAATATGCTGATGATAATATTAGTCATCGTCCTTGGAAATACAACATATGACGACAAAGCTATTACAATTCTTTTGCGGATTCAATCAAAAAAAAAAGTACTCTATAGATTATTTTCATCGTTACTAATCGTACCATGATATTTATGTCGGTTGTTTATTCTTCACATTTACCCTATAAAGATGCAAAATGTACAACAGTAATGATATAGATACTATCGATGTTCTCTTTTTCTATTCATAACATATGTTACACTTGTCAAAATCAATACTTTTCTTGATGAGAATAATGCTATATAGAGAAAAAAGCAGAATGAGATAAAAAAAAACAAAAAACATGAATCGATTTCATGCGACACATGAGTAATAGTTTATTGAAGTTAACTAATACAACGAATATATTATATTAAAAGAAAATTAAAATATATCAATGTCTTCAAAAAAATCATATGATAAGATAATTATTAAATAAATATTTACATATGGAAATAATATATCATGTGAAAAAATACAAGATTATTTCAATATTATATTTTTAATCTCAAAATATTAAATTGTGTCAAAACAACTATCATCAGGTTAGTACTTGTCGTTTAATTTATTATATTTCATCAACAATATCTAGATGATGTTGATTGATGTTATCAGTATATTATTCGACTATATATACGACTGTGACAGATACTTTTGTCAATCATAATATGTGATGAAATATTGAAAGTACTCTTTGATTTGTATAGGAGGAACGAAAGATGTCAAGCTTTTCCATCATTTATCTTCTTTTGATTTTTATAAATGATATACAAGATGTTGAAAATATAATAAATAGTGTTTTGAATTGTTTTTTGTTATATAATGATTATATATATTATAAAAAAATTTTTGTAATACTTCCTTCTTTTTTTTTTCTTTATCCTATTTATAATTTTAATATAGAAGATAATAGATTCAATTAACACTGATCTCAATTGTTACTATGAGATTAATAGTCTTATAAAATGTTTCGAGTTAAAAATTTGATTTATTTTTTTTTTTGCTCAAGTGAAAATTTTTTTCTACGTAGTTATAATAAGAAGCCTTTTTTTTATACCCAGTACTTGAAAAAATAATCATAGACACAAAAGTGAAGGTTAAAGCGAATTAAGACTGAATCGAGGGTAAAGTACATCCCGATCGTTTAATGAAATTTTCAAAATTCAATTTTTGTGTTTTTACAGTTCGTTTAATTTAGTCATTTAATGATATGCTAATTTGTTTCCAGTTAAATTAATCATTGTCAATCAATATCTCTCGTTTTATAAATGACTTCAGTACAAAAATTAGATTTCCTGATACTGTCATTTCAAATAACTCATTTCTAAAATATTAACAAAATATAAGTCACTTCAATATGTTTTTCACTGAATCATATGTCAAGTTTTGTTATCTCTAATTGAATTACCGCACGGAAAAACTTTTTCTGTATAATTGATTCCAGTGATGATCTTCGCCAGATAAAATATTGTATAGAGAAATATCAGAAAAAGAAAAACATTGATAGACAAAAGTACAAATCATTTATGACAGATAGTATAAGATCCGGAAAACTCGAATAAAGTTTGCTATATTAGTAGTTATATATATATTATATATATGCCAAAAAAACAGAATAGGAGATCGACTAGAAAATCAATATAACAATCGTTTTTAGGCCAATAGAGTTTGTTTGTTTGTTTTCGACCTATATATATGATTTTATGATCTCTCATCATGAATCTATTGTTATTATCTACAGGCGTATTTCTGTTTTTTCCCCCGTAATAATATTGGTTTTTTCATATAGTATTTGAGTGAAGTACGAAGAAATGCAATAGGTTTCATCTATTAACTTCCTTTCTAAGATCTCATTTTCAGTCATGAAGCTTGATAATCGTCCAGATTATGAATGAATGGCATATAAGAATGTAATCAAAAACAAACGATTGTATGCACTACGCATTCGTTTACCATTATTATCTCATTTAACAGATGTTATACATTTAATTGTTTATCTTTTTTAATGTTTCTCCATAGAACAAACAAGAAACGATGATAAATTGTATTCTAAATTCCTTGTTTTCGATATATTTGTTTATGACAAAATAGATAAAAAATAGTCGATAAGATATAAAGCATAAGGATGAAGTTTTTTGTTGGAATGCTAATTCAGTAGGTCTTAAGAAAAGAAAAACTAATAAATATTATGATGGTGGATCATATCTATAGTAATGAAACAAAACAATAAAATTATATTAAATAGACTAATGAAGAAAAGAAGAAGAAAAAAAGACTGACTATAATTTATAATATTGTCAAGAAAGAATGCTAAGATATTTTTCTAAATTACCCATTTTTCTTTTTTATTATTTGTATTGGAAGCTTGTCACACACGCACAATGGGACGAGCGTGTAAATCGTTATGGGTATTATTATATCAAACGTTTGAGATAATGGAGAAATAGATGGATACCGGATGATGATTATAGGATTGCATGTCTTACTATTGTCGTCCTTAGAGTAGCAGAAAATGTATACATACATACATGTAGATGTATATATATATATATATATATATATGTAACAAAAATAGAAAAGCGAGAACAAAGTGTAGATCGTTTATTAGATAAGATCATAGTGCAAGATGGAAGAAGGAAAGAAATGCATGAAGCTTTTCCCCCTTTCTCTTCGTTTCTTATTTGATCTTCTACCGAACTATAACGTCAGTCAGTCAGTCAGTCAGTCAGCAAATATGATACGGGCATACACATGACAATTTGACTTGTTCTTTACTTGTTGTCACAATGTAAGTAACTATAATAAGTTCTAGCTAATTTCTTTATTCATCAACCTTGGAATTCTCAATAATACAGAAAAACCTCTAAATCGATATCAGATGAGAATATCTGAATGATGGGTAAGAAAAGAAAAAGAAGACAACGAAGTTAATTTATACTATTCTCAAACAAATAGTATTCTTTTATACTATTATATACTCCTTAGACAATCATGAAATACAAATTAGCAATTGTCAAAAAAGAAAAGCTTCATTTTTTTTTCCTCTATGAAATTATTTCAAACAATAATATAGAAATTAGAATAAATAAGATAGTAAAAAAAACACATATATATATTCTTTAATTTTCTGGGTATCATTTTTCTTTGAATGCTTCTTTAGAATAGCATATTAGTATATTAATTTTTTTTATTAAAAAAAAGAAGAGAGTATGCATCATTATCATTGAATGTATCCGTTTTGGCATGACAAAATTTCCATTTTTCTAATCAAATGTCAAAATAATCGTAGAATTAATGTTAAATTCATAGTAGCGAAAATCTTTTCTTTTTTTTGTATATGAAAAATATTTTCTAATATATTTAAACATCAATCTAAACTAGAGGATAGATCTGATTGTTGCCTAACAACATAGTTTATGTGCCTAATGTATGCAGATTATGTATAGAAAAACAAGGATACATAATTCTTCTCTTGTTTCTCTTATATTACAACTCGTAATCTTTCTAAAAACATTAGCGTTTACAAAAATGCTTGTCTCTTCGAACGGTAATATGGAACAAAAGGAACCATCGTATCTACCAATTTTTAAAGACACTGATATTATGTGAGTAGCTTTTTTTCTCTATTCTATTATAATTTGAAGTATTAAAAGGAAATTCATAAAAGCCGATTTTCTTATGTGTTGATACCGAACTATTGTTAATAAAATCCCAAATGATCAGTAGCTATGTAATTCTTTTTTTTTCTCTTTTATAATCTTCTATTCCCTTAAGGCGTTATCGTTGATATGTCTTATGTCAAATTTAGAACTCAACAAAAGAAGTTGTAATGCATAATACATGTTTCTCTCATTTTAAGGTGATAAATATTAGCATATGACGGTTCTTGAACTATCGAGTTCTTCTGTTTTCAATGTTTATATACTTATGTCAGACATGTCGGCACATTAATTATCCACAAGTATAAACCAAAAGGGTAGTAGTAAAATTTCATCTGAAATAAACATATACGTACACACACACATACACACACACAAGGATATCATTATGTTTATTGCAAATATTCGTAGTAGTTTCTTTAAGTTGACAACTTGTCTATGTCTTTTATCATGACGACGTCAATGTATCCCCTTTTGTCATGTTTTTTTAAGCTTGTTTCTCAACGATCTCATTTTTGTACAACATCATCATCTGTCATCACTAACTAAGTTTAGAGGTTGAAACATCAATCTATTCGTTGATTGTATGTATCGATTGAGAAAAACATGAATGATAAGACATTGTGTTGATCGACACCACTTTAGTCGATGATCTTTTATATACACGACTAAGAAGGAAAAAAAATCCAGTATATTTCTTATCAATAACGAAGAATAGTATGTTGAATTTGAAAAGGAAAACATATATTGCAATTTCTTTTTCCCTTACATGATTTTGTTTTGCATCTAATTAGACATGTTATAATAATATAAAATACGATTAAATTGCACTGTTGCCATGATGATATGGATTTGTTATTAAAATATTTACAAAAAAAATAACAGGCCAAATAAAATACACATACAGACATAGTAGTCTTATTATATTAGCTCATGCATGGTAATTAATTTCATTCTGTTTTGTTTTTATGTTTAATTATATTTCGTTCTGGAACATCTCTAAGTTTTTTTTTCCATATCTAACAGTGTGTACGATAGACATCTGGTTCTATTGTATATAATAAGTAAGAAAAGTAGCAAAACAGTGCGTAGTATCAAAAAATCTGTTATCAATGCCGTTAATATTATTCGGTGAGTGGGTAGTTAGTGGTTTCTTGTAAGCAACTAATCAACTATTTCTATTCATCTAGAGAGATAATTATGTGTCTCCAATGTGAAATCATATAGTCTCATTTTCTACTAATCTACGTCTACTTTGAAATATCTCCCATTACATATGTTCGTAGGTGACTTTCGACAAATGAGCTTTTTTTTTTCTTCTTTTTTTTTGTTATTTTCAATACTTGGTAATGACTAGAATAATAAGTGATTTCTTTTTTTTAACACTTTATGAACTAAATTATATGTTTGATAGTCGACATTATTGTCAATATTAATGTATCTATTCATATGATGTGTTCAGTATATAAGTGAGAAATTGACACTATAAAACATGACTTAGTAGTCGACACTTGTGAAATAATTCTAGTTGAACACTTGTGAAATACATAATTCTATTAGTAGACTAAAAAAGAAAATGAAAATTTTCATAGTAAAGTGAGAAAAAAAATCATATCAAATATTATTTTAAAAACTAATAGTTAATAAGAATTTGAACTATATATATATATACTTTTTGAGTTTGAATAAAAAAAAGTAGGTGTATCTATTTCTGTTTAGTTTTATATAAATAAACTATTTTTTTAAGCTGAATTAAGTGCATAATAATATATAATTATTTCTAGAAATAAATAGAAGATCTATTTTTTTTATTAGTATCAGCTAAGTAATTTAGATGTGCATTATATGTATATAGACTGTTTTCTTTTTATATTATTTTTCATTTGAATAATATATACATAGATATGTATATGTAAAAACACATCACTGACTTTTATCATTTGTCAACAACTTAACGTCTCTTCTTCGATGGGGTAAATCAACAGTTTATATATAGATGTATATATCAATAATATTTCTCAAGCTGAACAATGAGAGAAATGAATGAGCTTAAAAGAGAAAAAAAAGCAATTTTCTTTTTTCTGATTTCTTTTCTTTTTCCTTTTTTTTACTGGTATATCAGCTTGATCTTGTTTGACATCTATCCTATATAGAATTCTTTTCTTTCACTTTACATACTATATTAATTTGTTGTGCACGGTACCATGCAAGCAAATTATTTTATATATTACATAGGCATATTATCTGACATTTTCACTCATCACTCGACAATTTGTTACCATTATCAACTATTTATTAGATACTAGGATCGTTGTAGGAAAAAGGGCAAAAACTTCTTTCTATACAAAAGAAAAAATATATCAAGGTATATTTCGTATGTATAAGATAAGAAGAAGAAAAAAATAATGAATCAATAAGATAGAGGTATAATGAAATAGAAATGATTTATGATTTGAACCATCTTTTCTACATCAACCATATTTACAAGAGAATGTAATTGATGACGTTCTCCCGGTTATTCTTCTCTCTCTCTCTCTTCCTGTTATAAGGAGCGCCTCAAGGATTGAATGTTGTCGAACACTATCGTGAACATTTTCTTGTAGCAATCTTTATCATTTGCAATGTTCTTATTCTCTTTATAGTAAAAACTCATGTGTATTGCATGTTATTTATTTGTTTCCGTTTGTGAATAATATTAGTATTACTTGTTGTTTTTTTATAACACTTGATCAAGTTGTAGTTATTTGTCGATTTAGCAAACAATTGACGAGCTAGTATAAGAAGAAAAAAGAAAATCCACCTCGAACATATTCACTAATCTATTCAAACGATATTACATAGAAGAGTTTTATATATATATCTGATTAATTACTTTCACTATTCGTTTTTCTGACATAACAAGATGTACTTATTCTAGACGATGGTTTGGCGACATGGATAACAATAATAAAACAATCGGTCTTCATTATTCGCCGCCTGGCTTTGACACAATGGCTATGTCATCAAATCAAACGTCGAATTTTGTAGTTGACATACCGAACGATTTACATTGGTATCCATTTTACCCTGGTCTATGTCCACCAACATATTATGTTATTCTACAAGGTGTTTGTGCACCATTGATAATTATTATTTCAACTGTTTTAAATTCATTAATTGCTGTAGTTTTATTACAAAAACATCTTCGTTCACCAACTAATATTCTTCTACTTGCTATTGCACTTTATGACACGCTTACAGGACTATTTCCTTTTCCAGCTTATATTTATGTATTTTCATTTAAAAAATGCGATGACTATATGCCTTATAATTATGGTTGGTTTCATCGAATTAATTATGAGGTGCTTCCTTTTATCTTTCATACATGTTCAATATGGGTAAGTTAAATATATTCCCGTGCGTAAGAAATTCTTTTAATAATCATTTATTGATTACCTACTAAGTAAAAAAAATATTGTTTTCCGAAAGCATCTAAGTCTATATAGAATAATTATTTCTTAATATAAATCTTTTTTATATAAGAGAAAAGCTCTATTATTTATTCAAGGTAATTAACTCGTATCAGGAAAAAAATTGGCCTTAAGGAATAGAATTTCTATCTAATAATACTAATAATGATGTATATATATTTTTTTTCTAGGTAACCGTTGTTTTAGCTATACAACGATATATATACGTATGTCATTCAGAAAAAGCTAAACAATGGTGTACAGTACCAATGGCTCTTAAAGCAATAGCATGTGTTAATATTTTAGCACTTGTTACTGCAATACCTATGTTTCTTGAAGGTACATTTCAACCAAAAGCAGTTCATTCATTACTAGATCCAAATAAAATAATTCACGCATGTCTTGTGCGTGATTATTCTGAAGATCGCAGATTTAGTACATTATATTCTGTATATACAGTTTTACGTGCTTTATTGATCAATGTTGGTCCATGCACAATACTTGTTATATTAAATATGATTTTAGTTCAACGTATGAAAGAAGCAAAACAAAATCGAGATAGACTTATTGTAAAACGTAGTCATGAAGCTCGTGCCCAGGAACAAACAAGTGTTACATTAATGCTTGTATGTTAAAGAAAACTAATTAGAATTTTAATTTATTTACTTTTTTTTCTTCTTTTTGTATATTTATATAGATTATTGTAGTAACTCTCTTCTTAATTGTTGAGATTCCAATGGCAATTCATATAATTATATCTGGTTTATTGAAATTATTTAACAAAACATTTCTAAACGATTTTTTAAATTTTTCTGTTCAATTACTTAATTTTGCTGTTTTATTATCATATCCAATTAATTTTTTTATTTATTGTCGTATGTCAAGAGCATTTCGAGATGCATTTACAAAACTTTTATGTCCCTCAATAAATCAATCTAGACAAGAACGATTACCATCAGCAACAACACAATTAATAGCCAAATCACATCATATTAATAATAATTTTGAACTTAGTAAAACATATATTGAAACAAAACATACTGATATGGAATCTCTCCCGTCACCAACTGTGATATTAAATGCTACAACTGCTGAAACTTCTATGTCAATAACACCATCAATAACTCCTTGTCATATAATAAATGATGGGAAAACTAGTTCGATCATCTCACTTGGCAAACAACATGTAGTATTTCATGATGATATTAATTCATCTACAAATACAAAATTTACTGATTTGTAATTAAATATATATTTTTTTTCTCGTTTAGTGTTAAATTTGAATAAAATCTAATTCATTTTTTTAAAAAACAAAATCTAACTTACTTCATTTTAAAATCAAATGAATTCTCATGACACTTATTAAAAGGAATTACATAGTGCATGTGCTATTGTAGAGGATGTACATGACCTATGCCGGTTTTTACATCGATATATGCATACTAATCAGATGCTTTGTTTCTGAACTAGAAGAGAGAACTGGGAGAAAAAAGAATATATTTAATAGAATTGGAGTTTGGCCAAAGCTTGTCATAAAAAGAATCTATTGTAAGAAATGATAGCATGATAATAAATACTAACTATTATTTATAATACTCACTGAGCTCTCTATTCAAAACAATCAGTGCAATAATAAAACATAGAATTATAACATAAGAATATCTTACTAGAGATTTTGTATTTTAAGAACATTTTACTATAAAAATGATAAGTTTACAAAGTATTTTTATTTCTTTATCGTGAAAATAAATTTGTTTGTCTCATCATTCGAACAAATTCATGACGATCAATACGATTATCACCATTACGATCAGCTGCTTGAAACATTAATTGTAATTCATGTTCACTTAAATTTAAACTTGTTTGTTGATTAATTTTTCTCAGAGTATTGAAATCAATATATTTTCGACCATCTACAAAAAATAGAAAAATTAAAATTTTTAAATTTATATTTCATACCAATATCAAATAATTGAAAAGCTAAATTTAATTCGTCATAATCATCTTGTTCTCCATCTTGATAATTAGCAAGTAAATGAAGAAATTCTCCAAAATTAAGTGTTCTAAAAAGAAATTTCTTCTTCATTTTTATCTTATCATATAAATATCATACGCTGTTTCTTGATTTTCTTTTTCAACATACGCAACACATTGTTCAATACTCATATTAACACCTAATGTTCTCATTACATAGACAATTTCTTTGGGTTTAAGACTTCTATCATAAAAAAAAACATTAATTTTTCTTGCTTTATCAAAATATATTTCAAACCCTCGATGTTTATGATCGAAAAAATCGAATACTTCTTTAAGATCACGAATTTCTTGTGCAGTGTAATGTTTATAAACATCACGTGAAAGACGAACACCAGCTACACTTCGTTCATCTAATGGATTATTTTCTAATTGTGCTAATAACTATTATTAGAAGAATTTATTTATATAAAATAAATTGTTTAATTTTATTTCAATTTACTTGAGCTCCAAGTGCTGGATTTGGTGGTACCCAATCGAGACGTGGTTGCGATGCTTTATTTTTCGCATCTTCTGCTGCAGCTTTAGCTTTTGATCGTTTCATTTTTGTTCTCTATCTAAAAAAACAACATTTTATTTCTATTTCAATCATTTTTCTGAACAAAATATGTTCGATTATTATTACTATTTGTTTTTCTTTTTACTTGGTAACTTAGGCAATTCTATCAACCAATAAGAAGCATTTGACACTAAAGTTGTAGACAAACTGTTTATTTTTTAATCAAATCGATCAGTATATTTTATTATCTGGGGAATTCATGTCTAACAGTATTTGTATGTTGTACTTATTAATTAATTCATAATTTGTTGTTATTTCCATCTAAGATCTGTTGATTAAAGAGTATGTCTGGAATACTGGTTATTTTTAATAACAGACTCACTACTACATAACTGCGTCGTTTGTGTAACTCGAGAACGAAAGTTATTAGAGAAAATATGTTTACTAAGATTGCTATTTCTTTTAAAAGCTTAGATATAAATATTTATTAAAAATATATTCCAATTACATAATTCTTATGTATAATAAATAGACGGGTACCTATTACATCTTTATGTTAAATAATACGAAATATATGATATCTTAGTTTTTAATCAAAAAATAAATCAGACAAGTAGATAAATGTATAACATAAATTATAAAACATTTGGTCATATACCTATCAGATGATAAAAGAAAGGCAGATACCTTGAAAATATACATTGACAGAATGCAACGCAACATGGTATGTACAAAGATTTAATAAAATCAAGAGAGAAACAATTGTATATATGCGCAGTTTTCAAACTATGGGTCATGTATAATATCTACGAAACTATGCAAATAACTTTTTTGTTTTCGTATAAATTCTCCTATACAATTCGTTCAAGACTGTTCTATGCATTTATGACCTTTAAAATACATAACGACATTGTATAGACATGCATTTATTTGAATCGAAAAATATTCACGATAGTTATGTGTATCGCTTACGTTTGAATTGTTATGAAGTGCGGAGTAAAAAAAAATGCTTGACTCTACTCGAATTACTTTAATTGATTGACAGTAAGTGATAAGGCATAAAAGATGAAAGTTTGTTAAGTTGAATGAGAAACAGTAACAATTGTTTCATTCATTTTGTGTTGTTGAATTTTGTGAATGAATCAACCGCGAACAACTAAACGATACAAAATATATTATCTGATCTTTTATTCCATACGAATAATCATAAAAATCGTGAGAAAAAATAATCAATGGCATTAACTCGAATAAAACCGGTAACTGATAATAAGTTTTTTTCGAGTTTAATAGAGCAAAAATTATATGTAATTTTTTCTTTAAATAGAATGTGAATTGTGAATTATTTCATCAACGTTATAGTGAATTAAGCGACGAAGTTCGTGCAAAAAATAAACGCGAAGATCGTCTTCTTGATATTCGATTAAAATATTATGAACGTGAAAAAAATACTCGTTTAAATATTTTACGTAAAGAACAATATCAATTAGAACGTACACGTTCATTATTAACGGAACAATGTCATAAAATTCAACAAGATAAACAAAAACAATTCATATCATTATATTTTAATGTAAAAACTAATCTTGAACAAACACCTATAGTACAATTATCGACACCAGAATTTTTTAATACAGACTGGGAAACAACAACTACAGATAACAATTCAATTAAACATACAAATGTTATACGACCCCATTCAGCGGGTTGAACAATAATATATTTACACAAACAAATAAACTATTTTTTTTCTTTGTACAGATTTTCAACTAGAGTTATTGCTAATTTTTCTAAATGAGTTAATTTTGTTTCAAATTGATTTGCAACATCTTCAACTTTTTCAATACGAGCACTTAAACTTAATTGTCGTTTTTGTTCATCAGGTAAATATGATGCTGGTTTTGTTGTACCTAATGCTAAATCTAAACGACGTTGTACATCATTTAACATAATTGATAAACGATTATTCATTTGAGTATTTTCTTTAACAACATCTTTGATATCAATTGGACGTTTTGCTTCTTGAAATTTTTTACAAGCAACGGAATATTTTAAAATACGAATAATTTTTATGGCTGTTACATAACGTTTTGGTAAATCATCAATACTCGTGATAGATTTTCGTCGTATATGTTCTGATTTTGTGATTGCTGTTGTTGTTGAATTTGTAAAAGGAAATCGAAATGGATTTGTTTCTGAGCGTGTATTATTTGTTCCAAATGGTAAGATAGGTGGTGCTGTTTCAGGTTTTTGATTTGATGGTAAAAGAGCATTGACACGACGTTGAATTAATGTATATATTCTCCATGTTGATGCAAAACGATCACCATGATAAGTACATCGAAGACGCCACCAATTACGTATAACACTTGCAGCAGCAGGTACTAAACGACTTAATGCTTCATCACGTTTTTGTTCTTGAACTTTTATAGCAAGACCCTTAAAATAGAATATATATATATGATGAAAAAACATAAAATGTATACATACACTTCCAATAATACCTGCTGGTAAACACCAAAATGCAACACCAAGAAGACAGATTGTTGTTGCTATCATTTTAGCAATATATGTTGTTGGATACATATCACCAAAACCAATTGTTGTCATCTAGTAATAATATATGGAACATTTTTGTTTATATTGTAATTTTAATGCTTTTTTTGGCATTTTTATCTCATAGATTTTATATGACATGGAAAGATTTTTATTTTTTTTTCTATTACTATTTAACATGTCTTTTAATGTGATTTACAAGCCTTGAAATTATATGTAAATGCTCTTATCTATCAAGATCTTATACTCATAAAAATATATATAAATCACCTTGAAAGAAAAAAGTACAATATTCTTTTCTATATTAAAACTATACAAAAAAATCGAAAATAATTATTACCGAGATAATTGAAAACCACATCGTATCAGCTACTGAACGAAATGATCCAGTATTTAATTTTGGATCAACTGATGTTTCAGCAAGATAGACAAGATAAGAGCCCGTAATAAGAAACATAAATGAAATAACTAATGTAACTGTTAATTCTTGACGATGTGTTATAATAATACCTTTTAAAACTTTCCATGATGATAATTGTCTATCGACACGTAAAAATCTTATCATTTGTAATGGTGGTAGACATTTTAATGTGATTGTTGGAAATTCTCCTGCTTTCATACCTGTTCCTAATGATATTGTAAAACCTAATAATGTTAATATATCAAGTATAATAACAGGTCGACTTATAAATTTTAAACGACCAACCCATGTTCGATATTGTCCAAGACAACCAGCTGACCATATTCGTAATAATAATTCAAAAGCAAAAAATATACATAAAACTAATTCACCATAATATAATGGTGCATCTAATTTTTGTCTCCATGCTTTAATAGTTGATATGGAACCAAATACAAGTGATATCAGGGTTATAGCAAATACAAATAAATGATAGGCAAGTGTACGTTTACCTTCTTGTCTTTCGAGAACATGATATATATCAAGTTTTTGTACAAATATCACTGAAAACCAACGAGATAATCGATGATAATCATGATCATGATCGTGTGGATCTAACGCTGAATAGAGTGATACAACTGATGCACGACGTTGTGATAGATTATGACCATGAGAGATCGTACTTTTACGTCGAATGCTCATATTTCAATCGAAAAATATTTTTATGCCTATATAAATGTTTTTCATCATTGCTTTTTAACCTTTATTCTAGACGTCATCAATTCATAGATACTTTCTATTTCTCTCCTTTTTTTTCGTTTTAAGAGAACCGAAAAAAAAAAGATTGTCCTTACGTGAGAAGAATGAATAATGATTTATTCTATCTAGGATTTGTTTATCAGTTGATTTATTCGAACAAAATTTGAATTTTAAAAAATATGAATATAAATTAACTTTGTTCGAGAGTGACCTCTGTTTATAAAAAAAAGCATATTCGTCTAATGCGTACAATCTCGAGGTTGTCGTCATGTAATTTCTCACCTAATGGAATTTCTAATGGTTATTAACGACACAAAAATAATATGTTTTAGTAATCGTTTTTAGATTAAAACTCAAATGCTAGAATTAATATAATAATAAATAAACAAATTATTTTCAAAGTTTTCTTTCTAATAAAATATGACGGAAGGTGATAAATTAAATTTTCTCATGTCTCATTTAATTAATATTTATATAAACTTTTTTGTGTTAGGAGTTGATACACATATTTTAAAAGCTTATGATATTCAAAAACGTCTTGGTAAAGGAGCTTATGGTATTGTATGGAAAGCTGCCGATAAACGAACTAAAGAAATAGTTGCATTAAAAAAAATATTCGATGCATTTCGAAATCAAACTGATGCACAAGTAAGATAAATAAATAAAGATAAGATTTATTTTATTTATTTTTTCTTCTTCTTCTAGAGAACATATCGTGAAATCGTTTTTTTACGTGAATTTGGTGAACATCCAAATGTTATACGATTACAAAATGTATTAAGAGCAGATAATGATCGAGATATTTATCTTTGTTTTGAATTTATGGGTAAAATAATAAAAGATAATTTTTATTAAGATGATTTTTTTCTTCCTAAAATATTCAGAGGCTGATCTTCATAATGTTATACGAAAAGGAACTATTCTTAAAGATACACATAAACGTTATGTTATATATCAGTTATTAAAAGCAATGAAATATTTACATTCAGCAAATGTTATTCATCGTGATATGAAAGTAAAGAAAATCTTGTTATTATATGTATATTTAGCGAAAGAAAATATTTTTTAGCCATCCAATGTTTTAATTAATCAACAATGTCGTGTTAAAATTTGTGATTTTGGTCTTGCAAGATCATTAAATCATGTTTATGAAGATGTACAACATCCAGCTTTAACAGAATATGTTGGTAAGTTAATTTAAAATAATAATTCATGAATAAAAAAATTGTTCGATTATCTTTTAAGCAACAAGATGGTACCGCGCACCAGAAATTCTTCTGGCTTCATCAAAGTACATTTTGAATTGTTCGTTTTCTTTTTCTTTTAACAATCAAATATTTATTTAGATATACAAAAGGTGTCGATATGTGGTCGATTGGTTAGTAGAAAAAAACAAAATATGAGTTTTTGTATAGAGAAATTTATTATTTGTAGGTTGTATTTTTGGTGAAATGTTACTTGGAAAACCATTATTTCAAGGAACATCAACATTTAATCAATTAGAACGTATTCTTCAACATATTCCAACTCCAAGTCATTCTGATATAGCTAGTATTTCATCTCAATATGGACCTAGTGTATTAGAACGTGCATCATCTGGGTAAACACACGCTTATTTGTTCTTATTTATTTTAATTGATTCTAAATTTTTAGTCCTAAAAAACCATTTGATAATTTAATTCCAAATATTACTGATGAATCCCTTGATTTACTTCGTCGACTTCTTCAATTTAATCCTGATAAAAGAATGTCTGCAGAAGAAGGACTCCGTCATAGTTTTGTTGCTTCGTATGTATTTATTATGTATTATATCTCTCATAATTTATTGATATTTATTTAATAGATTTCAAAATCCAAAAGAAGAAATTGTTAAAGGTTATGATGTTGTACCTCAATTAAGTGATGATATACAATTAACTGTGGATGAATATCGAAAAAAATTATATGAAGTAAAATAAATTTTAATATAAACATAAAGCTTATGTTGTATTTAATATAGTTTATTCGATTACGAGAAGTATCAGCTAAAATACCTACAGCTACAAATTCTAATCAATATACAGATGTTCAACCAGCAAGATCTCGTGATAATTCAGCAGATCCACAACAACGTTATGGTGCTAGTGCTTATATCGATCAATCAGAATATAATTCTTATAAACAACCGCCGCCGCCGCCAACAACAACAACAAAACAAGATGTAATTAATCGAGGAGCTTACGCAAATTATCCACAATCAAATACAAATGAAACAACTAAACCTAGACAAATTTATAAACAAGATTCAGCTGAAAATATTTATTCAAATGCACAACAACAGCAACAAGACTATACAAAACCTACAGTATCCTATGGTGGACTTCTTGGACGATCAAATAGTTATAATGGTTCACAAACAAATCTAGGACAACCAAGAGTAATAAGTGCAAAACAAAGAAATACACCATCCAATTCAACTGCATATCAAGTAATTAATAAAGAAATAATAATAGATTAGAAATTTCATTGAATTTCGAAATTATTTAGAAAACAAATAATGGAAATCTTACACGAGAAAAAACATCTGTGGCTAATCGTGGTTTTCGTTCAGGCTCTGCTCCGACACCTACACCACCTAAACAAACACAAAATGGAAGTAATAATAGTTATGTACGTCGTCCAACGGTTGTATTTAATGATGAGCGTTCTGGTCCAAGTGATAAAAGTACTGGGGCACAAGCAAGAGTCAATCAAAAATTTGTAAATTTATTTGTTAGTATTTAAAAATAAAAAAAACTATTTCTTCCTATTAGATTTCAACTCTTCGACCTAATTCAGCTGCTGATACACGACCTAAATCACGTTTAAATTCAACAACAGCTATACAACAATCAAATACAGGTACATCACCATCAATGTTTGGTTCGAATTATAATCAACAACAACAACGTCGTCCAGCATATGGAAATCAATCTAACATGACATCATCGATGGTTGCACGAGATAATCTTGGTGGTTATCATCAAAATATGGGTACAATTACTCAAAATGGTCTTCGTGTTCTCGATGGACTTCTTCATAATCCAATATAATAAAAAAAAATTTGTTTGTTTTTTTTTCTTAGTGTCTACATTTACCATATTCTCTTTTCTTACATACGACTAAGAATGATCTAGTGTACAGTTCTTTGCTATTTTTGAAAAGTAAATATGAAATAAAAATGTCATTGATCTGTTTCTGTTTGTTCAATTTGAGTATTGGAAATTTCTGTTTGATCTATCATTAACCATTTTCTATTCATTAAATCATATTTCGATATTGGAATAAGTTCATCATCATCATTATTATTATCTGATCGAATTTTTTCTGATATAATTAATATATTATTTTCAATAGAAAAAAGACTGATTTTCTTAAGATTAGGTATATCAGATAAATATATCCAATCTTTTGTTGATTTATTATAACATAATATTTCTGATACAGGTACTAATTCACCAGTCAATGATTTATGATAACCACCACATGCAAAAAGACCACCATCAGGTGATATAATATCATCACCACATGCAATAAGTAATGCACGTGCTCGTGGTATAACATTTTGAGATTTATTTTTCATGCTAAATGTATTCTTTAATTGTGTCCATCTAAATCCATACTCTTATACAAACAAAAGAAAAAGAATAATATTTATTTTGTACTTTTTTGATGTTAAATTTTCAAGTTGTAATAAATCATTATGAAATTGTACATAACCAGAAAGTAAATCATATCCGCCAAATACATATAATGAATCTTTATCATCAAGTGTTACAGCAGAACCTATGAAAAAAAATCATATAAATAGATGTGACCGATATACGGATGAAGGTTTGGAAATGACACAGACTCTTTCAATCGCACTCATCCTTGGGATCCCAGATTTCTAATCTCTTTCTCGTAGAGAAGAGTCCAGTAATCATAAATTGTTTGCTTGCTTGATTGTATATCCGCAGGGTCAAAAAAACATCGAAAATCAATTTTTCGAAAAAGACATTTGTTTTTCTAGTAAATGTGAAGAAAATGCATTTCTACGAGAAAGAGCTAAGGGAGTCCTCGGACGAGCGTTACTTGTGTATATATTCCGTTCATATTCTTACCACATAGTGGATTTGGAAGCGATGGTAATATTTGCCATTGTTCATCATTTTGTTCATAAACATAACAAGTATCCGTTGGCCTATAAAATAATACTTATTTTCAATTATTTACTTCTAATATTTCTTACTTGTTTAATATTGTATTTCCTCCAATAACTACCATTTTTCCTGTAAATAAATCGGTTAAACAAAAGAAATTCATATATATTTTATTTACCATTATTAGCTGCAATACCAAAATTAATTCGTCCATAACCTGGTACAGGAGGAATTTTTTCTAATTTCTTTTCTTCAATATCCCATTTCCAATCATTCGATGGTGCTCGACGTTCTTTAAGTAATGGATCAAATAGATAACCTCCTATTATACACGATAATCTCAGTTAATCAATTAATAGATCTTACCAATAATATATATATAATTTGGCATATTAACATAATAAGCACGTTTTCTTAATTCAAGTCCACGTAACATTTCGCCTAATTCTGTATTCATTTTATCTAATTCATTATCAGCTAAAACAAAATTTAGTTAAAAATATTTTTGCTTTTGTATAGTTTTCTACTTTTTTCATTATCTGATGATGAAACAGCATTAATTCCTGTAAAATCATTGATTTTTTCTAGTTTTGCATCTTTTATAAATCCATACTATTTTAAAAGATAATTCATATTCAAGAATTTTTCTATTATTCATCTACTTGATCTCGAAAAGCAAATTTGTCAAGAAATAATGTTGTACAATGAGATTTTTTATAATTATATCGTTTGAAATATGCCATTAAATAAATTAAAAAAAATAATAATATATATAAATACGCGCTGAATAATTTTTTTGTTTATAAAGAAAAAAAAAGATATACAATATAACAATTTAAATTTTGATAACGAAGCACCACCCGAGAAAAGAAAAAATCCTACGGACATTATGTGTTCGATTACATAAAATGTATGGAATGTTTTAGAAACAAACAAACAAACACATTCGCGAATATGACTAGTGTAAAATTTCATTCGAATAGATAATCAATGAAGATTTTCTGCACTTGTCAATCGACCACGAGATGGTGGAATAAATTGTTGTTTATTTTGTTGTTGATGATCAATTGAACACACATTTGATAATGTTCGATTTGTTTGTTGTTGTTGAAGAGGATATAATGGTGAAACTTGATGTAAAACAGACATTGATGATGCACGTTTTATCGATCCATTTTGTTCCTGAAATTGCATTGAATTAAATGATGGAAGATTCGAAGGTGTTCCACGAAGTTTTTGTACAAGTTTTTCTGAACCACGTCGTATACTTTGACGTAGTTTTTGAAATGAGCCACTACGACGTAATTTTCCATATTCTTGTGAAGATGATGCTTGACAAGAACGTCGCATTATATCATGATTAATATCATCATTGATACGTAATTGTCGAAGAAAATTTAATGCATCTTGAAGTGCTTCAGATTGATTTTGTGAATATTTTACTATACACGATTCAAGTAAATCCGCTTGTTCATAAAGACCTTGTCGACGACAAAGTGCACCTAAATATATACAAATGAAAACTTTTCTTATATAGAAAATATTAGATCCTACCAAGATTTTTCAATGTTGTCATAATTGGTGTTATATCTCGATTAGTCGATAATATTTGAGACTGTTCATTTGATTCAAATAAAATTTCTTGATATAATTGAAGAGCATATTTATATTTTCCTTCACGTAAATATGCTGATGCAAGATTATTTTTTGTTTTGATTACATTTGAATCATTTTTACCATAATGTTTTGTATAAATTTCAATAGCACGTTTATAATATTCTTCAACTTTATCATATTTACTTTGATTGAGACATAATAATGCTAAATTATTTAATTGTTTTGCAACATCTGGATGATCATGACCAAAAAATTTCTCACGAATTTCTAATGCACGTTTACATAATGGTTCTAATTGAAATTAAATAGATAAACAAAAAAAAATAAAATAATAAATCTACCTGCTTCTTTATATCGATTCTTTTTTCCATAGAGTACAGCTAAATTATTTAATGTTGCAGCTACAGCTGGATGTTCCATGCCAAGTGTTTTTTCTCGTATTGTTAATGCTTCCGTTAATAACTGTAAGGCTTCTTTAAATTTATTTTGATCACGATAAACTAATGCAAGAATATTTAACATTGTAGCTACATCTGGATGTGTATGTCCATGAGTTTTCTCAAGATCTTCAAGAGCTTGTCGACATAATGGTACAGCAACTTCATATCGACCAGCTTGTGCATATTGAATAACAAGATTGTGTAATGTACGAAAACGTGGTGGTATATCTGAATGATTTTTTGTTTCTTGATTAGAATTATTTAAATTTGTTTGTATTTGTTCTTTTGTTTCAATTGGCATTTCTTTATCAATATCAATAATAGATGTTAAATTTAAATGATTTGAAATTGATTGTGATGATGCTAATGATTCATTTAATAAACGAATATCACGTTCATAATCTTGTCGTAATTGTGTACTTGTTTGTAGATGTTTTTCAGTTAGAGAAAGTTCTTCACGTAACCAATTATTTTCTTGTGTTAACCTTTGAACTTGTAACATTAATTTATGTGTTTCACTATCAAGATTTTCTAAATGATTATCAAGTTGTAACATAACAAAACCTTCACCAATACCCAAATCAACAGATTCAAGTGATTGTTGAAGGCATTGACGTTTATCTTCATCAATAGTTGATGAAAATAATAAATTATGTTCATGTCGTAATGATTCGAGATTAGATAGAGCTAATCGAGTTGAATGAGTCAAATCGGAAGTTGTACTCATCTAAAATATTCCTAGGGTGGAGAAAGGTAGATCAAGGTAAAAATGTTAATTAAGTCATAAAATGAAATGTACATGTGACATACAATTGTATAGTTACGAATGTAAAGAAAAAATCGATGAAAAGGTTAAATATGTTGATAAAAAATGTATATTCACTTGTTGTATTTTAATTGAATGAATGAATGTAACATTTGATATTTTCATTCAACAAATAGACTATACATAAAATTCAACTCATCTTACCCGATTTTTATAATTTACCCAATTGAATAGATTAAATTACTTTTGTTTAAATATCAATCGATATATATATATATCTATATTTTCTCTTTCTACGACTGGCATCTTTATTAGAAATTGACTATGATATACATAGATATATGTATGTGTCAGCTGTTTTACAGAGAGAGAAAAAATAAAATCTAAATCGATATGTTATGTTTTGTTGTTCATTTATATTACTCACTGGTTCATTTAAAAATCATTTAAAATATGAAAAAAAGACAGAATGAAAAATATGTTAGTTATAGTCAGAATAGTAAACGAGGATGGTTCGAGGACATATTAAGAAAAGAAAAAAAAATGGAGAACGAAAGGTGCGTATTTTTCTTCTTCTCTGTCTCTCTCTCTCCTTCTCTCTTCTTGCTTACATTTGCCTCGTCGATGTTCAACATCGGCACGAGGTCACAGAGCCATAAGTCAACATTGAACAGTACATAGCACTGGCCATCATCAACTGTTCTCTCCCCGTTTTTTTTCTCTCTTTTTCTTCTGTTGATCGTTCCGAATGTATAACGAGAAAGAAAGATGATTGAGCCCAAGGTCATCAGTAATCTACGTGTCTTTTCCGTTATTATATTTATGTTTTAATCATCGACTTTTAACGACTTTGTTGATAGGAGTAAAGCGTGCCTGTTGATAGTTTATTTATATATAGATATACATATATATATGTATATATCAATATATATCCCAAATAACATCTACACAATCTATAAATGATAGTAATGACTAGATTATTGCGCAAAGAAACATAAAGAAGAAAAAAAAAAGAAGAACGACGAGCAAATAGTAGAGAGTATAATTAGAGATTTGTCATTGCTGTTGTATGTTCAACAAGCATACGTTGTTTGGTTTCATTTTCATCACCATTTAACGATGGATTTTGCGTAATTGTTGCTGTTGTAACTTTTATCCATCGCTATAAATAATAAAAAAAATAAAGAATTTATTTAAAAAAAAGACAAATATTTCCTACTTCTTTCATGGTACCAGTTTGTCTTGCAAATAAAGCAATGGCATAAATTGGAATAGCTAAAATTGATGAAAGTGCAATACACCAACCAATATATTCAGCCCATGTTGGAAATTGATAATTTTTATATTTCACTGGTTCATATTCAATAAGACTAAATATTGCAATACTCTAAAATAAATTTCAACGAAAAATTTATGTTTTCTTTTTTTTTTTGAATGTGAATTTATTTTTCGTACAGTACAAAGAAGTGGAGTAAAGACAATCCAACACCATTTCCAAAATCGTCCCGGATAATAGCCAATCATATCTTTAATATCTTCATAGAATCGATCGGCACCATAAAACCATGATACACTTATACATTCGAAGAATAGTAATACAAGTAAACACCAACCACTAGCGGAATAATAATCAAGAATTTTGAAAACATACATTCCACCCTTTATAGAAAAAAAACAGGATAAAATTTATTTAAAAACATTTTATTCATATGAATTACCTGAGTAACTGTTGGTAAGCCAATTAGAAAGGATACGAAGCAAACAGCAGCAATGAATAATTCTTTTCGACGACGTAAAACCGGCCATTCATCAACGCAAGCTGTTATAAAACCTTCGAGTGTAACAAACTAAATAAAAAGACGATTCTTTTTTTTTACAAATACAAATCATAGTTATATAACAGAAAATCATACCTGACTATCAAGACCAATGAAAATCAGCATAATAAAAAATAGTGCTGACCAAAATGATGGAAATGGTAATTGAGCAACTGCAGCTGGATAAGCAACAAATGCCAAGCCAGGTCCTAAACGAAAAAATCAAATCTAATCATATGAATTCTTTATATTTATAGTACCTGAATCAGCTACTTCACTAATTTTTCTTCCTTCAGTTTTAGCCATAAATCCAATAACAGAAAAAATGACAAAACCACTTATTAAACATGTTCCTTCGTTAAAAGCAGCCAAAACAAGTGTATCTCTAAAACATCATTTTCTTTTGTATATTTTGATAACAAATAAATTTTCTACCTATAACAATTCTTATGATATTTATTATAACTTCCTAATGCAACAAGTGCACCTAAACCAAGTCCATAACTAAAAAATATTTGTGTTGCTGCTTCAATCCATAACTTAAAAATAAAATAAATTTTAAAGTTATTTTTGTTTCAGAAAAATATTACAGTAGATGTTCTTAATTTTGATAAATCAGGTATAAATAAATATTTTATTCCATCCATGGCACCTTCAAGTGTTATACCACGAATAAGTAAGATGAATAGAAGTACATATGGAAACATGGATGTAAAATAGACAACTTTTCCTGTCCATTTAACACCTTTCCAAATACAAAAATAACATCCTAACCAAGCAATAGCTAATGTTGCAACTAATGGCCAACGTAATGAACCTGGTTGACTTATGTCATCTGTAATTTGAAGTGCATTACGTCTAAATACAAACAAAATTATAAAGGATCTTTTGCTATTTTCACATTATATACTCCCAAAATTCCTTGACAGGACTTGTATATTGTGCTAAATACACACTTTTATTATGTAAACATGTTTCCATCGATGTATCGGTTGTAAAATCTGATGCTGAACATATTACTGATGCCGAATAGTTACGCATTTGTGTTAATGTACGACATGATTCTAAGTTCCACCAATTATTACATGTCGACCATGGTAATAATGATGAACTACTAATTGAATGATAGGCATAATATAAACCCCACGCAAGTACAACAATATAATAACAATTAAGCCAAAATGCTATTATTGCTGCAGCATAACCAACACCTTATTAACATTCACAAAAAAAACTCATTTATACTTGGAAGAATAATATAATTCTGATTTACCTTTAAAAATTGGACATATTCTCCATATCCCAAGACCACCAATACTTGTATATTGACCCAAAGCTACTTCAAGGAAAAATAAAGGTATACCACCGCATATTAATGTTATGTAGTATGGTATTAGAAAAGCTCCTAATATGAAATGAGATAATTGTATTTAAAAATATATCAAATATGAAACTAACCTCCACCGTGTTGGTAACATAAATAAGGAAATCGCCAAACATTTCCAAGACCAATAGCATAACCAATGCATGAAAAAAGAAAATCAGCATTACCTGACCATTTTTCTCTTTCTTTTATTTCTGTCATGTTTTTTTTCTTCTCTTCTAATCAAATCTAAATTAATAATACAAAAACCAATATTCAGTTTAACGAATATTTTCAAATAATTATAAAAAAAAGAAAATCGATGACTGACAGAACTTTACCATACAGCCTATTATATTTAATATGTAACAACCACAAAAAAATATGGTTTTACTAGTATCATCTTTCTTCTTTTATACTTACCAATCAACTTCAAATAGTTTGATGTAACTGACAAGTATTTGTATATTGATTTAGACCTCGATGTTTTACCCCTCTCTCCTTTTTACTAACAAATAGAATGAAGGTAACGATGTATTACGAAAATATATTTATTTTTGATCCATTGAAATATCTTTTTTCTCTCTTATCATTCTCTCTCTCTGTCTCTGACATACACTCTCTCTCTCTTTTCTAGCTTCAATTACTTTATTTTCAGGCACAACAGAATTGTCAAGGCCATTTCTTTTACTCCTCTCTATTCCATATTTATTTATAATTAAAAACACGAAACTTATTTCTCTTATCATTGATATTTCCTTTCTTCTATAATAAGAAACAAGAAAAAAGCTGTAGAAGGACATCATACACCCTTTTTTTATATATCTTTCTTCAAACTTATATTCTATTTGCACACAATGAGATATTAATATGAATTACGTAGACATGCTAGTGGCACGGATTAGGATTGTATTTTACTAAGACATAGCACTCTTTTATAAAAAGACACACACGCATATATATATATATATATATATATACAAAAGAAAGGACATACAATGATTTTCTATTTGCAAATTCTTCTGAATACGATGATGAGTGCCTATTTTATCAAAAGAAAATGAAATTGGCTTATTTGTTTGTTAGAATCCTATTATTTCAGCATGCGATAAAATCTCAACTAGAGAGATAGGCATGCTATTCAAAGTTAATTACAGAATAACAATTGTATTTTAGTGTCACATGCAATGTCAACGTTTCTCATTAAACAGATTTTTAACGCCATAATAAACTTACCTAGAAGATTAATTCAACTATCTTGAAAGATCTCTTATAACATAAAATCTCGGTCAGATTAATTGCTTTTACTGTAAAAACAGAGTAGTAATTTGATTATAAGTAGTTTTAGTTTTAATGAATACATGAGATATTAAAAAACTTCTATCCCTTCGGCCAAAATAAACGACATACTCAGATTTTTTTTATCGGATTATCAATACGATCGTAATCAGAGACCATATTTACAGCATATGTACTAATCGATCATACCTAACTGTAAATCAAATCATCAATCATAGAATGTAAAAGCTTGGTTAGAAAAACAAATTGTGTTGTATCCTGTGGTCGGAATAAAATAGAAAGTTTAGACTTCGTGATAAGCTTTCTAAATTATCAATGCTATTTATATTATTATTTTTTCAGGAAAACATATGTTACACATATTTTATTCGATTGATTCTTCTTTATCTACACTAATAGTAATTGATGTCTTGTTTGAAGCATATTAATCAGTTATTAAGTAAAAACTCTTCAGAGTACATTACGAACATGATAACATATCGTACACATGTACTTTTTCTCAAACTGATTTTTAATATCTATATATATATAGTTGTGTGTTGACAGAAAGTATAGACGTTAGAAATATAATCTTTGATTACTAATGTATTGACAATTAAGATAAGACAATATAAGTATATAATAAATATACTATTCCTAATCAAGTCAAGTTTTTCAAACTCAAAGATTTCATAACTCTTTGCAACTATCGAATTGAATCAATAATGATTCGAAATGCACAAAATTTCAATTATGATAATATCGATTGTCATTAGTATCCTATCGAAATAATAATATATTAAAAAGAAATATCAACTGTCTTATTATACATTTGATAATTATAGAGAACAATAATCATCTTGACTTTACATATATATCCCATATCATTTTGTCATGTTTTTTTAGCGTTCTAATAACATATAAGAGATTATTTTATTCGAATGCTACTTATTATAAATATAATTGATTTCTTTTTTTTGTAATAGAATTGTAAATGAAAGATGCATTCCTAGTTGTTAAAAAACCAGATGTTCCTTAATTATCTTCTTCTTTTTTTGTTACAATTTGATGTAGATGTCTCTGAGTTAACACTTTCGTCTTTCTCAAAGTCACAATCTATACTTGATTATTATATTAAATGAACGCAATATACAAAGAATAGATAGATTTAGATGTCAATAGAATTACTTCATATATCATAAATTATGTTGATTAGATGCTAATATTTAATGTGTTATATTTTATAAAAATTACATCGATATTTATAGAATAATAAGTCACGTTAACATCTAAATTCATCTTTGACATATTAAAAAACACATATGAATGATACATATTCTCTAAAGGCGATCATACAAGCATAAATTTTATATAATAATCATATCACATTAGATGAAAATTTTGTCCATGTTGACTGCTTTTTTTAGTCTTTGACCCATTCTGCATGATTGAAGTTTGTTGTTTTGCTTACAATGCCGTCCATAATAATCATTTCATTATAAAATCTTTGACATGATTTTCCAATGTTCCTAAAAATTTTTCTCTGGATCTATCTACAAGTAAGTGTAAATCCAAGTTATTAATAACAATCATTATACAACTTTGATCAACCATTTCTTCTAACTAATATTTTAATGAACTACATGTTCTTTTTTTTACTTTCATCCAAAAATATCTAAGTTATATATATCATTCTCTTAACATTTTGCATAAATTCAGTTGAAAGGGTGGATATATTCGGAGTGATTCATTTTATTCATCATTATGATTAACTTAAAGGTATACTATACATTTTTATATGAAAAAGATTATCAATTCATAAAATTCTGATTTGATATAATAAAAAATCATATATCCCAAAACACAATGACATGATATAGACCATGCAGATCTAAATCAATTTTGTGCATCCATCTATAACTCTCTTTGATGCATATCATATATATATGTGTGCGCAAATTTAACTTAATGAAATTTCCTACGTCACTGTATTCTTTTAATATTATAATAAAGATATATGATCATAATGAGTATTCAAGCTGTTTGTTGCGTTGTTCATCTGTCATATTAGCTTTATAACGTTAGAATTTTATGAATTGTTAATCACATTCCATATGAAAATCTGGAGTAGTTTTTTTTTCTTCATCAATTGACTATAAGCGACATTATATGAAATATGAAAATTGATTTATAAGTACTTGTTTTTGTATATGCCACATATTCAATGAAATCGATTTTTGTATTCTATTTATAATACAGGTATGTACAGAAATTGCAAAATAATAAGTTTTGCAATTTTTCTTACGAAAGAAGCCATCAGAATATTTTACATGACACAAATCAAACTTTGTAATATTTTCGAAGACAATGCCTGTCTCAAGCCAGAATTGTTCGTAGAATTTTTATTAAAATATGACGACTAGACATCGTGTAAATCTCATTAACTTTACATTTCTTAGAAAAAGAATATTCTACGAACAGGTATGTTGAGAAGAATTGTATTATTCTTTTTATAATTCTGAGTCTTTGCGTGGGGAAAGTGGAAAAAAAGGAAGTTCATAGTACATACTTAAAAAAACTTATACTGACACTAGAAAATAATTAAAAGAAGAATGGTGTTGAGGTTTCTAAAAAAAATTGTTTGATAGCTCAAAAGTCAGTTGTGCTCATTAAGTATGTGCTGACACGAGCGCACTCGCTCTTTTTACTTGTCCTTATTAGACAAACTTACAATAAGGAGATGTTAACGGTAACTAACTATTCATTTCTTTTTCTTTTTATCTTAAGTTATTTTTAACATGAAACAACTGTATATCATTTCGGAATAGCTTCAACGACAATAGTTAAGTATACGATTAATTCATGTAAGTTATGTAACTATTATCTAGAGCAAATCAATGATTTTTTACCCTCGTAAATCCATTTCGAACTTCTTTTAATATCTATTTATATTTCTCCATATGATCTTTCATTTACAGATACCTATGTAGTCTTTGCACAACAAATATTGATATTAATTACATGATAATGTATTATCAGTAAAGTAATGAATTAGATCTCATGATATAGATTATATTATTTTTGTAAATATGTCTAGCACTTTTCTTAGTTAAACTACGCGGGGGATTTTGAGAAACGGATTTAACATAATAGAAGAAAAGACTTTTATAGTCCTGCTTTTATCACGCAATGCAAATCTTTGACCCATGATTATACATTTGTATTTTATTTTTAGTATGACATATTGAGATAGAATGATTTGTTCTAAGTACATTCATTTTTATATTGAAAATATAATATTTATTCTATAATTGTATATAATTACATTGGTAAAAGCATTAATTATTATATCAAAAATACTTATTAGTAATTGAGATTGACAAATACTTTAGAGACTATTCTATACATATAATAAGGGAATAATTGTAAAAATATATTCATAATATTTGTCATGTTCGCATATGGAACATGATGACTATTCTGTTTAGTTTTTAGAACAAGAGTAATCCTTCGTAGAAGTATCGCTAATGAAATATCAGGTCTGTTTAATAATTAAGTAATATTAAGATTAGTTGATATTATTATGCTTTAGAATTTTGACAGTACTGATTCATTTCTTATTTTCCAATTGACTCATGTAATTAAATCTTTGCGTAGATGTCCTTCATTATGAAAAACTATAATGATGGATAAAAATCTTAATTAGATCCGATTCTGTCATTTCAATTGAACCGTTACTGATATATCACTGAGAACAAAGGCTTTATTTCAGTTAATCTATAATTCATACGACTTCTTCTCCGCGTAGGCGTAGAATCTATTGTAGCATGTGTAGCTGCCAATCCATCATTCTGTTCTTTCTCAGCTGTGCTTTATTACATTTGTATATATATCAATGAGAAAATGTAACCCATACAACTGTTGGATTTTTAGTGTAAAACCTTTAAGATATAATATTTTTTCTAGGAGTAATTATTCGATATAGAAATGTGTGTGTGCTAAAAGCACAAGCAAATATACTTCAATTATTGAGTGAGTACATATTGACAAACGTTTTATAATATGTTATTCAGCGTTAGACACTAATGACAAAATAATGGTAATTATATTTTATAACTAAGGAAAATATTTCTGTCTATACGAGCTAATTATATGATTGTAGGAGGAAAAATATTGATGAATATATATGAGAAATATTCATCTGAATCAGAAGTTACATGCATTCTTTTGACGTAGGCGTTAATTAGATGAACGAGATAAATTAATACTTGTAACTGTGCATTGAATGCATCGATACCTACTGAGAAACTAATCAGATAATGGTGCTGACAAGGACAACTATATTCTTTCTATTTTGAAAATAAATTAAGCGAGTGTTGACTACTTGAAAATTGTATAGAATATACGTCTGGCATGCGCGATAGTTTGATTTTTTTTGCTTCATCAAATACTATGAAACCATTCGAAAAAAAAAGAATGTTTTATTGGAAATAATCATCGTGACAGAGGAATGAATGATCCTTTCATCATTGTGTTTTATATATATAAACACAAAAACTGTTTCGAAAGTGTGAGTAACATGTTGCAAAGCAATATACGTCAATTGTTTATGTATTATACTTTTAATCAACTTTCATTGTATAAAGAGGAAATGTAATTTTCTACAGTGATTACAATTCGGTTTTGTTTGATAGGGATCAATAATTATTGACACCTCCGTAAGTATGTTTCTAGGTCGATTTCCAAATCTGATTTAGACACATACACCTACTCCCCCGCAATTTTTCTTTCTTTTTCTTATTTATTTTCAAGATATCTATATATATATATTAAGTACATCTGTATATTGTAGATCTCATTTTCAAAAAACCTTTTCATACTTTGAACAAATGAATATATTACATTTACTAATTTTTATTTCAATTTTATTAACAACAAATGCTCAATGGTATATTAAAAAAAATAATCGACCAAAATTAATGAATTATCCAAATCCTGGCAAAAGAAGTTTATTAGAAGATGATGAATCAGCATTAATTAATATTGATTGTTCAAAATCATATTCTCAATTATATTCATCTGAGGAAAGATCTGCATGGCTATCCATATGTGGTCATAGAACGCTACCGTTAGAATTTAATGAAGATTCATTATCGAATGATTTCGATAGCTCTGAAGATGAATCATCTTCTGTTGAAACAGCATTTCATCTAGCTGTAAAACGTTCTTCATATGTGGCACCACCTTATTTTAAAGATGACAATATTTCATTCAAGAAATATATGATGCAACGTCTACGGCGTATGATTAATAACAAATAGAAATAATTGAAAGTTTATTCTTTCACTGCAAGATTCAGTCATGTTATCTAATTCTTTTCAGATTTACATGCATATTTAAAAAAATCTAATAAATAAGATGCGCAAGCATTTTTTGTTGTTGATCGTTTTTCGATTTTTGTCGTTGTTGTTTTATATTGAACAGAAAATATGAACTTCTCTTTTTTTTTTATTTTATATTATTTGAAACCTTTTCTTTTGTCGCGCATATGTTTTTATCGAAATTTTAACAAGAGAAAAATATTGTTCATTCATAATCAAACCATGTACGGCCTGAATTATGAAATGCTGCATATGGATGATAAGGTGGAAGTTCACTATCATCATCTTCACTTGCTAAATCACGACGTTTACCCCAGCCTAAAGTTTTTTAAAAAGAATAAATAATCAAGAAATTCAAATCTTTTTACATACCAGCTTGTCTTTTTGATTCAAATTTTTGATGGTATGAATCACCTGGATAGTCACCATTAACTGGAAGTGGCCAATAATTTTTACTTGGTCCTGTTACACGTGCTTCGGTTATTGTTTGACTAATAATGTAACAGCAAATAATTAAAATAACATGGAAAAATTTCATTTTGAACTGATGACTTGTAATGAACTTGATAGAATGAAAATAAGAAAGATGATGATGACGATGACAAGATGAGCTACTTCGAGTAAATGAACAAGTAGAAAATCACTTAGAGGTAGTAGGTGGAAATCAATGATTTACATTACTTTATCCGTCATAAAATTATTCACCGAGAAAGAAAAGGAGAGATAATCAAATAGAGAGAAAAATTATCCAAACAAATCACTATGTTTCTTATATTGCACATATATTTAATTCTCTATCGGAAATGTTAATATTAAAGTAAATTTATTGTGTAAAAATAATAATTTTCCGAAATATTCAACGATAATTACATACACAATTATCGATCTTGTCGTTTTTTTGATTATAGATTATTCTCTGTAATTAATGTCACCGATTTATCTCGTTGATGAGTGACAAAAAGTAAATGCTCTTATTTCTTTTTTGCTTTTAAATATATATTTTTTTTCACAACCGATTGCACACACATTGGAAAATCTGGAACAAACAATCACTGTTGACTTAAAATAAGAAGAAAAAAGAAAAAGTGTTATTGTTGTTGTTGTTTATACAACTACTGTTGTTCGATAATCATTGGCAATAGATGCAAAACCAAATGATTGCATTAAATCAATATAATCATCAAATAATTTCTGTCCGATTGTACCATCATCAATACCAAATTGTTTACAACATATAAATAAACGTATTGCTAATTCAGTTGCACCTTGATTATGTAAAATTTCAATCGCACGACGAAACTGTCCACAAGAGATTAATACTAAAGCTGAATGTAATTTAGATGTTTGAGAATATTGACGAATATATTCTGACCATCGTTTCATAACATCAATATATTCAGTTGAATTTGATTTAAGACGTAATTTTGCTAACCATACTGATCGTTCCCATTGATTATGATCTTGTAAATATCGACATGCTTCAGCACATAAATCAATTGTACATAATAATTGTACACCTTCATCAACTTTTCCATTAGCAATTAAATTTGTTGCAACTAATTTTGTAACAGTATTTTTAGATGTTTCAGTTGTTTGTTTTTGCATTGTAGATATAAGACAAGCTTTTATACAATTTAATGCATATGTATCATCATTTGGATCGGAATCAAGTAAAAGTTGTACAGCACGATCAGTTTGTTTAAGAGCAATATAAGAATCAATACAATATGTTAATGATGATGATGTTGAACTTTTAATATCACGACGTATTGTTCGTTCTAAATGAATTTGTTCAAATGTTTTAAAATCAACAAGTAAATCATAAGATGGAAGAAGTGGTACTGGAGGAGTAGAATTTTCAGTTGATGAACCATATTCATGTAAATAATATTTAGTTAAACGCCAAAAACGTTGTTCCCATGGATCATTAAATAGATTAGCAACTAATAAACATCGATCAATTGTTGAAGTTGTATTCGTTATAGAATTTTTTATTTCACTAAAATTATTTTATTTAAATCATGATTTAATTAAAATTAAAACTAAAATTTACTTATCAATTTTGGAAATTTCTTTTTCAAGTAATCCATTTAAGTTTGTGTCCTCACATTTTTTCATTAGATCACTTAATGAACCATTATTTGTACATAATAAATGTTTCAATAAATTAGCATGACGTGCAGACATTAAATATGGTGATAATGTTGTTTCTAAACAACGAAGAATTTTTATTAGAAATCTTAAACTGTAACATACGTTGAATTGTTTGAAATTCCATTGAACTTGAAGAATCAACTAAATTCATTTCATATATTCGTATACAATGATCCGAACATGCTAAAACAATTTTATCCGAACTTGCCCATTCACCATCATTAACTTGAATGGTATCTCGCGGATATTTCAATGTACTAATACGATCCCTCTATAATTTTAAAATGAAAAAATAAAATCATTGATTACAATAAAACTTACATCTCGTATATCCCAAACATCAACACCATCATTGAATAAAACAAAAGCACGATAATTACCTTTACCAGGTGCAAAACGAACTTTTCGAATAGGACTTCGTTTTGTATTAAATGATCTTAAAAAAATTTATTTTATTATTATTCTTATTTTAACAAGGTTGATTGCCTGGTATAATCATAGATCGGTTATTACCTAATAAATGACAAGTAATGCTCGTCCGAGGACTCGCTTAGCTCTTTTTCGTACAAATGCATTTTCTTCATATTTACTGGAAAAACAAATGTCTTTTTCGAAAAATTGATTTTCGATGTTTTTTTGACCTTTGTACCCTCTTCACCCCCCCCCCTCCACATGGTCGCTCAATAGTCCTCAGATTGAAAGTCTCTGTATCGAAAAATCGGGTTTCGATGTTTTCTTTCACCCTGCGGACACACAGGCAATCAGACAACTTATGTTTACTGGACTCTTCTCTAAGAGAAAGACAATAACAAATATTTCTTACTTGCTCTGTTTCAGCTTTATATTAAATACTTGTATTATACCATCAACATCACCCGAAAGAAGATAATCACCTTTCAATACTGAATAAACAAAATTTCTATTAAATGAATAATGAAAAAGCAAAGTTTAATACCTAGATCAGTTGCAGCTGATGATGAATGCTAAAATAATTGAAAATAAAAAGATTAAAGAAAAATAAAAAATTCAGGAAATACATCAGGTGGAACAGTTGCAACTTCTTTAATTGTTCGTCCTTCCACATAGAAATGATATAATAAATTATATTCATCTGTAAATATAAAATTTTCTCGTGAAGATTTTTTTTCATGATCAGTTGGGCTCGTTCTAAAAAAAACCTTCAAATATATTCAAATCCATATGTTTTATTTATCATACTCAGGTTCATTTAAAGGTCGATTAAGGTCTTGTTCCGATTCAGTACTACTATTTAATTTCGTTGGTGATTGCAATTCTCCGAGTGCTTTTTTCATAACTAAAACATTTGGTGACCAATCCTAAAATATCGAAATAAAAAATATTTGTTTCTTCGTTTTTTGTTCGATAAATACCAAAGCTAAAATTCTTGGACATTTTTTTGGTAATCGTCGAATTAATGTAAATGTTTTAAGATCCCATAATTCAAATGGCTGATCACGAAAAAGAATAATTAAATAATTCCTTTTATTAGAAACAAAAATAAAGATTTAGTCTTATTTAATATAATATATATATATCAAACAAACCTTGTATGAGAAACTTTAAAACTATCAATCGGAGATTCATCATGATTTATTTCAGATCGAAATGGTTCTTGTCTTCCTATAGAACATATTAACAAATTCTATAAATTATATTTCGAAAAAAAGCTAACCTGATTGAATATGAATCATAAATATTTCATTTCGTACTGATAAACGACCATCACTAGGCGTTTGATATGCCCAAGAAAGAAGCATTTGAGATGATAACCATACTACTCCACTAGAAGAAAAAAAGATTACATCATTCTTTTTATTAATGAAAATAAAATCGAAGTACATACCGAACGGTACATGAATGAACAGCTAATTGTCGTTGAATCGTTCCATCATGAAGATTATAAACAACTATATCTCCATTAGTACAACCTAGAAAGAATTTTTTGAATAATAAAATATCTTTCCTTTGAATTTCTATTTACCAAGAGCTAATAATGGTTTCCAGTCTTTATAATTTTTTGCGGTCATTGGTGGACACATTTGTATTGTATAAGGTGCAGGTGGAGGAGTAAACATAACTCCACCTAATGGAATACGATTTCCATTATTTCCTTCATTATTTATTTCAATATTCGATGGTATAGATAAATCTTTTGAATCAATATTCCAAAATAAAACTTTTCCATCCGTAAGAATAACACTTATAGCTGTTTCATCTTTTGGTGAAACACAAAATGAACAAATACGTGTATTTTTTACTAAACGAAATGGATCCGAATAATATACAAGATCGTAAGTTAAATCAATGACAAAATCATTTAATGAACCTAAAAATTAAATAATTCGAAAACTAAATATTTTTCAAATATATGTACGTACAATTTGGAGATTGTAGTGCCGTAATTGTACTATTTTCTAAATGTCTATTACGTACACTAATTGTTCCACTTTCATGAAAACATATAAATGCGTCACGTCGACAACATCCGTAAATCTATTTTTTGACAATGAAAATATTTTAATTAAAATAATATTCATTAAAAACAAACTTTATAAAATGCTGCTGAATTTTTTTCACATAAAATAGTTCCAACGGTTTGTAAAATTTGTAAATCAAATATTAATATTTCACGTGGATAAACAATTAATATTAAATGACGATGTATGGGATGAAATAATATTTGTATACAATCATTTAAACTAACAACAGCTGATGATGCTTGATCATCTTGTCTAGAGAAAAAGAAGAAAATTCAAACATTTTATTAAAAATTAAAACTAAATAATTACTTGTTATGGTCACCACCTCCTTCAATAATTGTTTTAAGACGTGCTGTTAATTGAGTACTTGTTGAAGTTATAGATGTAGTTAATGGTGTACGTTTTGAATGATTAGTTGGAGGATTTGGTTTATTATTATTCTGTGTATTTGATATATAAAATCTTCGAGATTGACCACTGGGTGTATTTACTGGTGAAAAATCTTCAATAAATGTTAAACTTGATTGACCAAGCACTGAAAAAGAAAATAAACAACAAAAGTTTCATATTATTACTTGTTTATAATTACATATCGCTCGTTGATGATTAAATGGATCTTGAATAATTTGTAAAAATGCTTCTGTCTCTCGTTGTCGTTCATGATCATAAACAATACGCCAAAGTTTTGTCCCGGTTTGTGTATTCCATAATGTGACAATATTAGGTGAATGAATTACAATTAAAAGTTGAGAATTACTATCAGATAAATACCATATCATATCTAATAAATTTATAAAAATAAATTATTAATTACTAAGAAAATCTTCTATAACAATACCAGATACTGTTTTATTTCCATCACGAAATTCAGATTGTACTGAAGATTTATAAACATCCCAAATAAGAATATTTCCCGTTATATCAGCACTTGCTAGTTTAAGATTATATGGATCGTCTATACTATGATAAAAATTATCTGGAGCCCATTTAACCTATTTAAAATATGATTAATTGATGTCAATAAATTTTATTTAAAAATACTTTAACAATTGGTTCATGATATTTTTCCATACATTGAAGAACCTAGCAAAAATCATATATTTCGTATTAAAAAACCTTGTATTTAAAAATGTATTTACTCGAAATGATTGTGGATCAAGTATAACAATACATGATTGACATCCATATGCTAGAAGACCATGAGAATTCCAATCGATAGCATCTTTATTTGCATTATTTAATGCTCCGGGAATAATACGAGATACAAGATTCATTATTTTCTATTTTAATCAATACTTATACACAACAATAACATGCCGTAAGAGGAGAAGGAAAAAAAAGAACTAAACTATGAATCATATTCAACCAGTTAGATTTTGAGCGCTATGTTCGCAGAGATAGTCAGTTGAAAATTTCTTGTTGAATTCATTTATTATATTCAAACATGTCTCTAACAAGAAAAAGTCGAACTGCTATGGATATATTTAAATCAAATATTGGATATATTTCAACATATTCAAAAAAATTCGATGAAATGCTTGGTAAAAAAAACAAATGGATTTAAAATGGAGCTACTCTTATTTCTTCTAGATGGTGGTATTCGTATGGGTGTTATAACAGAATTATGTGGAAATCCTGGTAGTGGAAAATCAAATTTATGGTCTGTTTTAATAAAATTATTTTGTTTAATTAAAATGAAATATTTATTTTTTAATTAGTACACAATTATGTGTTTCAGTTCAAATGAAATTCGGTGTAACATCAGATACTACAGGAACAGCGATTTATATTGATACAGAAGGAAGTTTTGTACCTATACGATTACAAAATATGGCAATGGATGCTGAAAATCATTATAGAAATGAAAATAAAAATCCTTTAAATACAATTTCAATTGAACAAATATTAAAAAATGTTACTTATTTTCGTTGTATGAATGTATCGGAATTAATTGCTTGTCTTCATCAAATAAAACAGATTATGACACCAGAACGAAATGTTAAATTAATTATTCTTGATAGTCTTGCACATCCAATTCGAAGTATTATTGATGGTGATCATTTAACTCGTCATAAATATACAGTTAGAATTGTTACAATGTTACAAAAATTAGCTTTAGACTATAATTGTGCAGTAAGTTGTTGGAGTTTATTATTATTTAAAATAAAATATTTAATTCAATGAATTAGGTTGTTGTTGTTAATCATATGATTGCAAAAGTTGGATCACCAAAAAATGAAGCATATTGTGCACCTGGTAAGTTTAGTTGGTAAAAATGAAATGAATTTAAAATATTTAAATAGCACTTGGTGATGCATTTGGTCATATGTCTCAATTACGAATACAATTATCATGGAAAATGAATAAACGAGAAGTTCGTGTTCTAAAATCACCTCACTTACCAGAATTATCAACATTTTTTCGAATAACTGTAAATATATATATATTATCATTATAAATAATTTTATGTATTTCAATACAAAATTTTTTATTTTAGGATGAAGGTATTCGAGATATAGACGAAACTGAACTCATGGATCATGATGATCTTAATGGAGCATCACAAGAAAATATACATTCAATTTCGAATATGTAATCAATATGGGGATGTAGCTCATATGGTAGAGCGCTCGCTTAGCATGCGAGAGGTATGGGGATCGATGCCCCACTTCTCCAGTTCACTTTTTTTCTCTCTCGTTCTTTTTCTTTCATGACATGTCATAGTATAATCATTCAGATATTTATTTTTACTTATATTTATTATTATTAAATTCACTAAAAAGAAGAAGAAAACAAAATTAAATGACAACAATAAGATAACATCGATTGTTTGTTCTCTCTTTTATTAAAATAACAATAAACCAGTAAATAATAAGTTAAAATTGTGTTAATGTTACTTAGTATATATGATTAAAAAAAAAGAAGTTTTTATCTTGTTCAAAATTAAACATATTCATATTTATCGACAATGAGATTCGTTTCATGTGAATATGCTGCTGATTTACGAGTATCAACTGTTTTAACATCAGCAATCTAAATAGAAAATTATTCATTAGATAGATAAATAATTCTAAAAACTTTTCGTTTTACTTTAATATCACAAAAAGGTGTTTCTGCAGTAAAATCTACTTGAATTGGAAAAAAATCAGCAGGTTTTCCTCGAACAGAAAATTCTAATGCACCTTCAGAATTTGACTGATCAATAACACCTAAAGACCATATTAAAGTTGTTTTACGACTATCAAATTGATAATCTCCATCGATTTTTCCAATAACAGGTGTTTGACCACCACCCCTTCAAAAACAAAAACAAAATTTTAAATGAAATTATTCTAAAAGAAATTTTCATACGGTAATGGTACACTTATTTGAACATCTTTTAAGACGAGATTTGTATTTTGTAATTCATATTCAATATTAACATCACAACCACCATTTGGTGTTTCATTTGGCCAACAATTAACTAAAATAGAATAAGAATTTTCATACTATGAATATATTCTTTTACTTGTAAGTGGAATTTCTCTTGAATCAGTTGATTGATAACGCCATTTAAGTACACCAACTTCTTGATTAGCTGGAAATGGTCTATCAGAATTTTTTAAACCAATTAAATTTTCATTTGTAAATAGTTTTTTATCAATATTTGGATGTGTCTAGAAGAAAAAATTCAATTTTATTTCAAATGAAATACTGATTATTCGTTTTCTTTTACTTGTAATTGAATATTTCGAGTTTCTTTATTATTAACAGCCACAATAATACGTCCATACTCTTCTGATTTAACACGTAACATAATCATACCATGTACTTCTAAATTTTCTACGCCACCATCACGAGTACAAGATACAGTTATTTTTTCTTCTTGTTTTAAATGAACACTAAAGAAAAAGAATTGAGTGAAGTTTTATAGAATTTAGTCCCGTTTTTTTTCGATTGAAACTTACTCTCCTTTTTCATTGTCTGGTAACGATACACTTTGTGTTTTAGGTTTATTAGTTGATCCACCAGCGCCTGTTAATACTGGAACAGTATTTGCAACGTTTTCACCTTCCGATTTAAGTTGATCAACAAATGATTCGACATTTTTTCCTTTTGTTCCTAATTTCATTGCTTTGCCTGTTGTACTTGGACGAATAGCTGATCTGTTGTAATAAAAATCAGTTAGTTTTTTTTTACTATTAAATAAATGATACATACGATGAAGGATTAGATGAATAACTGACTGGTGTTGGTGTTACATCAGGTTTATTATCTATTGATGAACTTCTATACATTTCTGATGATATACCATGAGATTTTGCTCCAGGACCACCACGTTGAGCACGTTTTTGTAAATCAAGTTCTTTAGCTCTTTGTTTCATTCGATCTTTTGCTTCACGTTCTTGACACTACAAAATATAAAAGAAATTTAATTTTCTTAACGAAAGGTAATCAGTAATTACAAACCAATCTCATTGCATCATGAACACGTTCATCATGAGAATCCATTTCAGTATAAGTACGAATTTGTGCTAAATTAACATTTTCTTTATAACCTAATGCAACAATTTCATCAAATGCAGCTAATAATTCAAAAGCATGTTCAAAAATTTCTTTTTCATCAACTGTTTTACAATATTCTGGAATCTAGACAAACAAAAAACGAAATAATAAAGATTTCTTTTCTTAATTTAATAAGACATAATTTACCACTCGAGAAAAAAGTCTTAGTGTTTCAAGATCTTCAAGTATATTGCTAGTTTTTGTAGTTAATAAAACCATATAAAGTTTATCAAATGGTTGATAAACATAACGAACAGTATCAGTTTCAACAAATGTATGTTGTTTACCAGCACCAATTAATTTTGGAAATGAAGCAAGTAAACCTTCAATACGTGATCGAGACATTTCCACAAATTGTCGAGAAATAAGTGCTATTTACAATGTAAAGAATAAGTTTTTGACATAGAAAAAGAAAGAAGAGTTATATTTACGTTTGCCTGCTTTAGTACAGATTGATGCAGCGAGTAAGACCATGATGATTACAAATTTAAAAACCTGAAATATGTATATAAATACCTATATAAAAAAGAGTCGTGTTGGCGTGTGTCGTGTTTGTTGTTTTCTTTTACTTTACTTTGATCTATCGATCGATGATAGGTATTTGATGACTAACGAGCCAATCAGAAATAAGTCAAATTTTTAATTTTAATCAAATTTCTTTTTTTATTTCACTCAAATTCTAAATACATACTCATAAAATTAAAATTTATCAATCTTTAAATAAATACATAATTTGATTTTGATTTATACGCCTTTTTTCTTCTCACTCATATTACTTCTGTCAATAGAAGAATCATTTTTCAGAAACAGAACTAAATTGTTGCGAAACTGGAACTCGTAATACTATACAAAATCATGAAATACTATCGCTTCGTTCAATTCTCAAGGCCTATTCTTTATCATCATACCATTTTATCTTATTCCTAAATGAAAAATGATTTCGGCTATAAAACGTATAAAAAGAATTTAAACTATTGAACAACAAAATAGTTTTCATCGTCTGCACTTAGATTTATAACAATATACATTCAATACTGATTTGATTACTGTATGAACTTTTCCATTTTTCTTCAACTACAAGAACATCAATCCGAATAAACAATAAATAGTTTTTGTGAAGAAGGTAGAGCAATATTTTTCCAGTAATGAATCGCTTATTTATAGAAAAAAAGATAAGTGAACAAGATGAAGATAAATACTTAGAGTAGATATGTATTGACCTTGAATTTTTATTAGATTGCAGATTGAAGGACTTTCGATAATAGGACTACTATTTCGAATGATATTGTCGTCTTTTTATTCTACATTTTCTTTTTTGTTAAACATATATCAATATTTTGTAATGAATTGATACTAGTCATATTCAACGTTGTTTTGCAGTTTACCATGATTTTTAAATTAGTCATAGGTGTTGATGATAGAGGTCTTTCAGATAAAGGTAAAGCGTAAAAAAAAATACGTAAACATATACGTAATTGTTTGATTTCTGTCACTTTTTTTTCTTCGCAATAATTAAACATTGCAAAAGAATGTATTTTCTATACCGATGAAAGGTAAAATGCATCAAAATTAGGTTAAATAATAACAATAACAATACTAAGCAAGATAAAGTATGTGTTTATCACTAGAACAACGAGAAAATATTGATACATCATATCAATGACTAATTCACTAGTAGAGTCGAAAACAAATTACCTGAGCAAGGTAACATAGTATATTCACTACTTCCTATATTATTTCAACGATGTCAAACATCATAACCAATTAAAAAGGCACAGATACTGATAAAATAATCAATGCAGACGTTTTTAGTAGATTTGTTGTTTTATAGGACTTATCGTATTCAAACTAATATACAATGAACTATACCAATAGTGTCAAATATGTGTGCTCGTACATTATAATATTAAATTTTAATATTTTATCACTAAAAATGAGTCAATCGTCCATATAAATATTTGTTTTTTTTTATGATTGAAAATATGTATCGACCACTGAGTTAAACTATATCGAAAAATTTGTAGGTGGATTTGTTTTCATCTGAGCATCTATAACTAATAGTTCATCACGCCTAGGAAAATATAATAACTGAAACTAGTAGTTCTACGTAGGCTTGTCATTCTTTCCATTTAATTTCATATAGAAGACACGCAGCAGCGTGAAATGAAAAAGCAAATATGTCATCTCTTTACCATGTGTAAAGAAATCAATCTAGCGATCTTTTTTTTCTCTTCGAAAATATATATACGTATATATATTTCGTAAATTACTACCAAAAATGCGCATCAAGAAAATAAACTGATCATTTCGCTTGCATTTTATTATTTGATTGGTTGATATTAACATTCCTAAGGAGTTACTTTACCTAAGGCGCTATTTATTCATTTATTTTGAGTAAAAGAACAACATCATTAGAAAAATTTAGTGTATTTCGTTCCTGACTTATACTGTGAGAATGAATTTTGTTAAGTAAGCATTTGATCATGTTTTCAAAACAATACTGATAGACATGATAAACCATTCAACCATAGCGGCTCTTCCGTTCTATGTAATGAGAAGGCGTCACTCTAGAAAAAATCATTCTTGTCACGTTTTCTCGGTCGATTGATCATTCATGTTAGATATTAAATTAGTAAGCTATTTTATGAAAAATTAATTTTTTTGTGTATATATAAAGCTGAAAAACAATCAAATAAAAATTTTCTTAGGATTATATGTATCATAGGATGAGTAAAGACAGAATATTAACTACAACTAAATTTAATATTTCATCAAAATCATGTATAAATAATGCAACTGGCATATAATTTGCATTATTTTAAAGATTTCGATATAAAAAAAACAATAGAATTTTGTTTATTTAGTTTTTAGTTATTTAGACAAAATTTACTCTTCAATTTTGTAATAAACATAATTATGCCACTCAAACAAGCTTTGTCCATTGGTATTAATTCGTATTCACCAAGTCATTTAGCTTTACGACCTTGTATTCACGATGCAACAGATCTACATCATTCATTACGTTCAATTGGTTTTCAAAGTGAATATGGAGCCGATCTTGATTTAAATGCAATGAAATCGGCTACCCATCGATTTGTTAAATCTATTCGACCCGGTGCGGTTGTTTTATTTTATTTTTCTGGTCATGGTGTTCAATCTGATGGTAATAATTATTTAGTACCAGCAAATGCTACTGGAATTTGTGCGGATAATATAAAATCAACTGCCATTGATGCTCAAAAATTAATTAATGATATGCATAGTAGACATCCGAGACTTGTTATATGTATACTTGATTGTTGTAGAACCGATCCACCAACAGAACCACTCGATGCAAGTAGTTTCTATAAGCGAGCTTTAGCTGGAACAAGACCAGGTTTTGCACCAATGCGTGCTCCATCATCAACTATTGTTGTATATGCTTGTGCAGCAGATGATACAGCTTCACCTAATTCAAAAAATGGTCGAAATAGTTTATATACATATCATTTACTTCGTTATATCAAAACACCAAATACCGATATTGAAACTGTTCTAAGACATGTTGCTGCAGACGTCCAGAAAGAATCAGCACATGAACAAATACCCTTTCGATACAGTAGTTGTAATGAAATGATTTGTCTTGTAGGTAAAAATATACATAATGCACCGATGTCACCTCATGGCGGTCAAGCAAAACATCTTGCTCGTAAGTTACATTAAACTCATTTGGAATACATATATTCGTATTCGTATTTAGAGCCATTATATCCCACACACCAGAGAGCTTTGGCTCTTTACCATCCACACCCACAACAAAAAGCTTTGACTCATTTCCAACCGCACTCACATCAAAAAGCTTTGTCTCTTTACCATCCGCATTCACACCAAAAAGCTTATCATAATTCACTGAGAGGTCATTTTGGTACGACAGTTCATCGTCGTCCAACTGCTAGACATGCATTATTAGACATGCAACGAACTCCTTCAAGATTCGGCCCTGGATCTCCAAGAGATTTATGGTATTATTGACGATAAGAACTCGTTAAATAAAAACAAACATAATTTTTTTTTTCTAAATAATATATAATTCAAGATAAGTTACTTCAAATAAAGTAATATTCTTCTAAATCGATTGCTAGTCTATTGTATATATAGTAACAAAATATTCAACATTTTCCGATAATTATTTTTAAAGGAGTCAAATTAAATGAGGATGGTTATATATTCTTTTTTTTCCTATAAATCATCAATGTCGACCGTCAACCGGCGACAATATAGTTTAGTTAAGGATAGATGACGTTGTATTAATGATTCCATATTTAACATACAAATCTTGTCGTCACTTGTTTGTTTGTATTTGTTTATCTGCTTCTGTTTCTTGTCATAAATTAGTTACTGATTAAATTAGAGTTCTGAACGAACAAATCAAATACATCACTTTCTCTTTAGCCTCCTTTAACTGATAAATACGAATCAATAATGTAATATATATTTATCTTGCGTAATTTTTTTTTCTTTATTTTTCAAATAAATAATCCACGTTCTTTTTTCTTTACATCATTTATTTATTCTAGACAAAAGAAAACGAGTTTTTTGTTAGACAATGGGAATTTTAAAAAATATCGAAGGTGATGGACATGACATTGAAAATGTCAATTCTATAACACTTATTGATCCATTGATACATGTCGAGTAAATGATTTTTATCTATTGATGATATTTGTTAATCAATTTTTTTTTCAAAACAATTCTATAGCGATACAACATCATCATCAAGTGAAGATGAAGATATACAAGAAAATGTGGTTATATCAGCTCTACCAACTATTACACCTGTTCCACTTACATCTACACGAACACCTAAGGTTAAAAAAACTGTTTCAAAAATTCCAAAACCAATATTACATGTAAAAAATATTGGTGGTAAACAAAGCCAAGGACATCGACAAGCCCGACGTCATGAAAATAGTTTGTTTCTATCATACTTCCAAACTTTATTTAATATTTAATTTCAGTGTGTTTTTTACTTAATCTTGCAACTGATTTGGATGAAGATTTTGCTGAAGTCAATATCAATGATCTTGTTGATACAACCATCTCAGCATTTGCACAACTTTTATTAAGTAAAAATAAAATGAAAGTATGATATCTTTTTCTTGAATATTTATATATATATTATTATTAATTTTTCTACAATTTATAGTTTATCTTTCCCTTACCTAGAGGTTCTCTCTAATCAAGGGTTTTATTTGATTGAAAAATTTTGATAAGGAAACACAGTAGCTCATTTTAGTGAGCATTCGCCTCTGGGATAAAACGAAAATAAATAAATATAATGACCATGCGAATTAATTCTTTTGAAATGAAAATTTCGAAAGAATTATGCTGTTAATTTGTTTTCTATGAGAAAGAAAAAACGTTTTTTGAATTTTCCAGTTCGTGTAAGTAGAATAATCTATGTTTTGGTTGATCAAATTAGAAAATTCACATAATTTACAATTAGAACATAACACATACTGACCTAATTTATTGAAATCGGATGTTTTTTTTCTATTATTATAATTAGATTTGGCAAGAATTTGTTGAATTACCTGAACGTCAACAAGAACGTATTGTTAAGGTTGCAACTGATAAAAAGCAAAATAAGAAGAAAAAAGAAAGATTAAATAATAATCTTAATATAACATCAACAAGTTGCAGTAGCGATGAAAATCTTGAAACATTCGTTCTGATTGAAAATCGTACAACTACTAATGATCATGATTCGATGAATATCTTACATCGACAAGGTAGTATTCATATTTTCCAAAAATCTGTTTATGAATATTTGATTTTAGAAGAAGCTGATACATGTTTTCGTCGTATTGATCCAAATATTCGTTATACATTAAAGAGTATGATTAAACGACATCATTTACCTTTCGTAAATATTCAAAATTAAATTTTGTTTTGTCCCTATATGTATAAAAATATCTTTAGGAACGTATAAATTGGTTTGAAGATGATGTCATACCATTTTTTAAGGAAAATCCTGATTCAGTTTATTTACGAGATTTAACTAATGGTTTCGATCGTATGTTACTTCATGCGGTTTGTCAATATTTGAATTTGATTTCAAAAAGTATAAATCAATATTTATATAAATCATCATTTTAATTTATTGCTCCTTCTTTTTTTTTCTTTGTCATATAAAAGGTTTTACTCGAGATGGCGAAAGATATACTCAAGTTGAAAATCGTCGTATGGAATTTATTCCGCCCATAATGTTACTTTCGGAATATGTTAAAACAATGAATGGAACAGTGAAAGACGTTTTGTAAATTTTTTTGTATTTCATATATATTATTCTTGCTTATTAATTTTTTTTTCTCTCCTTCTCTTGTATATTCATTATATCCCTCCTATTTAAATCCTGGTGTTAAAAAGAAAAACAGAGAACATATAGCGATGAGATTTTATTTCTTGAGAGTTAGTTTGATTTTACTTTCATTTGTAGATGAATGCACCAGCAACATTTGAATCATTTTTATTATTAGATGGAGAAAAGAAAATTATTGTTGAAAAAGATACAAAAGTACCAAATGCAGTTGTGTTTACTATTGCGAAAGAAGATCATACATTAGCAAATATGCTTCGAGCACAATTATTAAAAGATCCACAAGTTATATTTGCTGGTTATAAAATTCCACATCCACTTGAAAATAAAGTTATTCTACGTGTACAAACATCTGGTCATGAATATTCTCCAATAAATGCGATGGAAAATGCGATAAAAGATTTAATTTTTGAAATAAATATTCTAGAAGATAGAGTTAGATCAGCTATTACGAATAGACAAAGTGCTGAATAATTCTGTATTGTGTATTATGTATTCTTGTTATGAAATAAAAAAAAAACTTTTTTCTATCATTGTTCATTTCAGATAGAATATTTGACATTTAGATTGATCGAAAATATGTTCGATTAATTAATTTAAGTAAGTGATAGACGAAAATGATAGTATATAAAGAAATATTCAATAGGGAATTGACAAAAATACTATTGCCGTTTCAATTAGTTTCTATGAAGAAAAAATATAGTGTGTAGTTCTCATAAGAATGAGTCGTATTCGAATTTTTAAAAATAAACTGCTGTCAAATAATAAATTTTTCTGTATTATTTCAGAATATCAATGAACAATAAGGATTGTGAACAGTATCATGTAAGAGATTATTTATTCGATTTTTTTTATTCGAAATATTTATTATAGAATTTTGACAATGATTCACTTTCATTTGAAAATAATACTTTAACAAGAACAAGTCCAACTAGAACATCAAATTATGCAAAAAATTTACTTGCTAAACTCTCTTTAATGCGTCGTAATGTTGAATTATGTGATTTTCGTATTGATATTAATAATAAATCCTTTTTATGTCATAAATTTTTATTAATTGCAACATCAGATTATTTTAAAGCAATGTTTAATGGTTTGTTTAGATTCTATTGAATTTCAATTTATTCTTTTGCAATTTATTTCAAAGGTGATATGAGTGAAAGTCAATCAGATCATGTTGAATTAAAAGGTTTTGATAAATCATCAATTGGTGTTGAATCAATGATTGATTTTTGTTACTCAGGTTTACTTGATATCACATTTAATAATATCGATGAATTATTACATGCAGCAACACATTTACAAATTAATCATGCTATTGATTTATGTTCAAAATTTCTTATTGAATCTTGTACAATAAATAATTGTATTGATATATATAAAATAGCTGATCTATATTCATTATCAAATGTCTTAGATATAATACGTTTATTTATATCAAAAAATTTTCTTTCATTAATGTTTCAAGCACGTGAACAATTCGAACAATTAACATTTGAACAAATATGTCAAGAATTATCCAATGATACATTAGAAATGAATAATTATAGTGAATATGATTTATTTACTATGACATGTACATGGATTGAAGTCAATCGTAATGAAAGAGAAAAGTATGCTATTGAATTATTTCAACTTATTCGTTTTATGTTAATGACACCTGAAGAATTATGCGATTGTGTACGAAAAAATGAATTAATTAATTTAAATGAACAAACAAGAAAATTAGTTGAAGATGCATTATGTTATTATGCTTTACCTAATCGACAACCTTTATTAAATAATATACAATGTCGAATAAGAAGTGAACCAGTATTAGTTGCTGTTGGAGAAGTTGAATTATATACAATGAATTCAACATTAGATGGATGGGATACAATTTGTCAAGCACCATTAGAAGAAAATTATCCGGTAAGAATACTCTATTACTTATCTTATTGGGCCTTGCGATTGTTATTTTATCAGTGAATAATAAGACTTCGTTTTTTTTAAATATACGATTGAGTATTAAGTTAAAAATTAGATTTGAATATTTTCGTAAACGTAATACTAATAATTCTATTGAAATACTGGCATCTATAATGACCTTCATCTGTTATAATATTAATCAAAGATATCATAAATAATATATTATAGGAACGAACATCTACTAACATACAACTTGTGAAAGGCAATAGAAAAGAATCCATATACATCAAATGCTCATTGATTATTTATGAACCTTTGATGATTATTAGAAAATTTATTCAGTGTGCAACTATTTAGATTCTATGATAAGTATTATATAGAATTCTCTAAACAATTTTATTCCATGCATCTGTAATTATAATCGGAATAGTAATAACATTGTAATATTACAATATAGAATCTCGAGAAATATTATAATTTTTATTAATTAACAGATATATTCTTTTTTTCTCAATCATAGTTATGAATAAAAATCACGTATTTATATAAGAGATCCATTTTTTTTCTTTCTTTCTAGTATCCATTTAGTGCAATAACTGTAAATAATTATTTGTATGTACTTGGAACACGTCGATCATCATCCGAGGAATATAAATCATGTTATCGTTTCTCACCACGTAAATGTGAATGGACTAAATTACAGAATCTATTACGTGATCGATCACGTTTTGCTGCTGTTCATATAGATAAATATATTTATATGTATGTAAAAAAAAATTAATTTTCTTATAGTGAAAAATTATTTTTTTTAGTATGGGTGGATTCGAAGGATTTAAACGAACAACACGTATTTATTTAAATACAATTGAACGATATTCTATTGAAAATGATCAATGGGAATCATTTTCAGTAGATGGTCCACAACTTTCATCACTTGCTGCATGTGCATATGAAAATTCAATTTATTTGGGTGGTGGGAAAAACGGACAATGGTATGTTGATTTGAATAAATCTATATAATAATAGAAAAATCACAATACTATTCATTTTCTATGATAATAAAAGAATCACTTATTATTCGAAGAGAATCTATAAGATTGTCAAGGTTTCAATACAATCTAACGCTCATTATTTTGAAATCTTCTTTGTTAATGCTTTTCTATTTAATCACTAACGATCTATATCAATTCTTCATGCTTTTAGGTCGAAAATTGCTGATTTTTATTGTTTTTCAATTGATAAACGTCAATTAGAACGACGTGCATCAATGTTAAATGCTCGTACAACTCATGCTTTTCATTTATTTGATGATAAAATTCTTGGTAAATGAAATTTTTTATTAAATTTTTTGAATAATAATATTTTTTCTTACAGCTATTGGCGGTTTTGATGATGATGGAAATGGAATGTTATCAATTGAAACATATGATATTCATTGTGATCAATGGACAATATTAACCTTAATACCTGGTGCTATATCAAAAACATGGCCACAATCACTTGGTACTGTTAGTCGACGAATTTATATCTCAGTTTTTCATACATCAAATTCTTTTATGGTTATGCAAGAAGGATATTTTTTTGATTTGGATACACAACAATGGATAAAAGCTCCTGTTGTCTATGAACGTGCTCGATATTCTCCAACAGTTCAACTTCGATTTCCTCAAAACTTTATTAAATCTGCTCAACCAACAACTGTCTCATCGCTATCATCCTGAAAATAGTCTTTTACTTGTACATGTTTGCTTACAATTGATTGTTTACTTTCGTGTTTTTTACGAATATATTTATATTATTATTATTATGTATTGAAACAAATCATTTGATTTTTTAGATGATATTTTTTTTTTCGAATGTATAAAAAAGAAATTTTTCAATGACATCTTTACTATTCTTTTATACTCGTCATCGTCTTCTATTTATTATTACTTCTGTCAAATGGTCATTAATCAGATAATGTAAATAATATTATTATTATCTTATTTGTTTTTTTTCATCTTAACTAAATATAGAAACATTATTATTATTAGATGATGGACAATCATACATCTTCATCATCACCAACATCGTGTTTTCTTTTTGAAAATACAAATGGTTCGATTTATCCGAGTGATTTAGTTTTAACTATGATTGAAGATCCTTCGTCTCCATCATCCTTAAATTCATTAACGAATACAAATGGAAGTTTATCCCCTTCATCATCCCATCAATCATTTGGTCTACCATCAACAACTCAGATGTCCTTCCCTTGTTGTGTATTCCGTTGTAGACCTAATTCACACCCGTTCCAAGAACGTTGCATTCCATTAAATGAACATGTTAAAGTTGGCCGAGCTGTTGCTCGTCTTAAAGCTCTTCCAAATAATGCCATTTTTGATTGTAAAGTTCTCTCACGTCAACATGCTAAACTTTGGCATGAGAATGGAAAGGTATATGAGTAAAACAAATAATCAATTTTTAATAAAATATTATTTGTGTTTAGTTCTTATTACAAGATACAAAAAGTTCTAATGGTACATTTGTTAATAATCAAAGATTGGGTAAATGTAATGAAGAAAGTTTACCATTTGAAATTTTTTCTGGTGATGTCATTCAATTTGGTGTCGATGTTACTGAGAATAATCGTAAAAGTAAAAAATTTGTTTATTTATTAATTTAATAGAATTTTAATAATATAAATATTTAGCTACTCATAATTGTATTATCATTGAAGTTAAACTCTATCATAGCGATGGTAATGAAGCTCTATCTCGAAGGTAATTAATGATTTTATTCAATAGAAAAACAAAAGTAAATATTTATTTTTTTTTAGTCCTATTGATCGATCTTTAAGTCAAATAAAAGAGCTTGATATCAATACTCAAACTTTATATCAATTAGCTCAATATCTACAAGTAAAATATTAATTATAGTTTTGTTTGTTTTTCAAAATATTGAATTTTTTGTCTCTAGGAAGCTATGCATCGTGAACAAATGCTTGAACAAAAATTAGAATTTCTTCAAGGTGTGATACGTGATACTCAACAAGCATCGAATGAAGGTTGGCAAGCAATTATTGATGAAGATCGTCTTCTAGCACGTATTAATGCACTCGAAGATCAAATTCGTATTTATCATACAAAAGTACGAAAAAATAATTTTTTTCGAAAAATTCTAATAAATTTATTATTTTAAGCATCCAAATGAAGATGCAACCACACAAGAAATAGTTCAATTAAAACAATCACATAATAGATTTGAAAACGAATCAAAAGTAAGGAAAAAGAATTTTATTATTTTAAAATTTTCTATTGCGTTTTTTTGTTTAGGAGAAATTAGAAAAAGCTATACTGGAACGAGCAGATGCTACGAGTCGTAGTAAATCTTTAGAATGTTCATTGCAAATGGCACAAGATGAACTTAAACGATTTGAAGAACAAAATGAACAACATAAACAAGAAATACATCAACTTGTACAATCTCTTGATGAACAACGTTCTTTACTTGCTGAATTTGAGCTTAAATTTAGAGTAAAATATTCAAAAAAATATTTTCTTCTAATTTTTTATGGAAAATGTTTTTAGGAGTCTCAAAATCGATGTACCGAACTGGAAAATGAACGACAACGAATACAAACTGAGATTGAAAATTATTATCAACGAACACAGCATCTAGAAGAGCTACAACAACAGAAATCTCTAATTAGTAATAATTCCGAAGAGATTAATCAGGTATTATCATCTTCTTAAACATTTCAATGGGTTTATATTGGAAATTTTTAGAATGGCATAAATAATATCGAAACACACGGCCGATTTCATGTACAATCAACATCAAAAGGTATATAGAATTTGCCAGGGCTGTCACGAATTGGAGGAGAGGATCCTCTTTACTAAAATTTGATTCCCATTTCTAAAATGTTCGCAATAGCACTGAGAATTAGACTCGTAAAATAACTTTTACTTCATTAATTTCGATTGAATATAATTCTACATACATAAACGATTATTATTTATTCGTAGAATCAATTACAAACAATGAAAATATAAATAATATTGATGATATTCCAGAAGAAAGAGATAATGAAGAAACCGATCGATCTTCGAATTCACCTGAACAAGAAGAAAATGATTATCAACGTCAAACAATCATTCCAACTGTTCATATGGATTCAACAATAAATCATAATCATACAGAAGAAGAAGAAGATGATGATGAAGGTTAATATTAACATTAGACAAAAAAACTTAGTTTTTATTTTCTTTCTATCTCTATATTAGATCAATCAAATGTGAAAAACCATGAGAATATAACTGAACAATCATTAACAACACCATTTTCTCCCACAAATGACCTCCCTCCAATAAAACATACAAATAATGAACGTAAGATTATCTATTTTCATATATATAATCAATTTAAATACAAATTTTTAGATAATTTAGAATTAATTGAAGCACAAAAACAAATTGAACTACTTCGTGAACATTTAGATGAAACCAAAGGTAAATTGTTTTTAAAAATCGACATTTATATTAATATAATTATTTTTAGAACGATTTACTTCTATGGAAGATGCACATCAAGATGAAAAAGAACGTTATCGTTCTTTAACAAGTGAATATAATTCAATACGTGATGAACTTACACAATTAAAACAACGTTCAACAATAGAAACGAATGATAATAAAGAATTAATTGAACAACAACAAATTCAACTCGAACAATTATCAAAATCTATTGTATCAAAACAGAGTGAACATGATCAATTACTGAGTATTTATCTCTGTTTTTTTCTTTGTTGTTATTTGCTCATTTTTTTTCTTTTCTTTTGTCTTTTATCATGGTGAGATGTTTTTTCTTGCGAAAACTAAATTTACTTTTCTTTGTCTTTTCTTTTCCTGTGCTAAACAAACACAAAAAACCACGAATAGAGAAATGTGTATGTGTGTGTGCCTTTGTACAAATAGAACTGCAGTTTGTCATGTTTTCTCTTTTTTCTTCTTCTTCTTCGCTCTCTACTCTTCTCGTCTTTATTCGTTTCTTACAAATTATCTTCGTTCTTTTTCTTTTTGTCACACATTTTTTGATTTACGCGTAGTCGGAACATTGTTGATGATGCAATTTTTGTAGCTGCTTGAAACCGATATGAAGAAAATAATGCATGGTTTGTTGTCTTTCAAAGAAAATTAAGGAAGATTTATATGATATGTACTATGTTGTGTTGACAAAGAATAGACTAAGCAATACTAGATTTTGCAAAAAATTCAAATTTTAAATATAAAAGAAAAAACAAATGATTTCTATATAACCAATCTTTTCAATAATGAAAATTTATGATGATCAAATTGAATAATTTACGAAATATATCTATACTAATGTTATGATAATACATTGACTTTTTTCCGATATAACTAAAAGAACGAATTTCATAGAGCTATGCTTTGGATTGTTGGTCTCTGAATAGAAATAGATATTCTTATGTACTAAATCATACAATGAAGTATTTTTCTTCGGTCAAAAACTATACCGGACAGCATGGAATATTTGTAAAAGATGCGAATGTCTCCGAATTGTAAACGGATACCAATACTAAATAGAGCTGTGTGGGCTGACTCTACGAAGATTCACGAAGACCCAAAATGGTTGAAAATAAAAATAATTTCGCAATACACATTGATTTTTTCAACTTCCGAAGACCCACGAAGAGGTATACTTTCTGCTGGCTAGGTAGAGCCACTCGACTTGCATACACCCTGAAAATTTCAGCTTTCTATGTGTTTGCTGAAATAAAATAGCAAGGATCGCACCTTCTCAGTTACGAGAAGTTACACTAAAATGGTTAAGCCTTCATAATAGAGAAAGTGTCGTCCTTACTATTTTCTTTCAGCTAGCACATAGAAAGCTGGAATATTTAGGGTGTATACAACTCGAGTAGCTTTATCTAACCAGCAGAAGATATGGCTCTTCGTGGATCTTCGTAGTATCAGCACACAGAGCTCTATTTTGTAGTGGTATCCGTTTTCGTGGATCTTCGCGTCTTTTACAAATACCTGACAGTATACTGAAATCAATCCAAAGACTTAAACCGAATAAATTTGATTTTAAATTTTTATTTGATTAAATCGTCAGTTTATAAATTTTAATGTTTATATCTTGAATAAGGTACTTTCATTAGTTTCCATAGAGAAAATATTGACTGAGTCCCTTAGATAATGTGCAAATAAATATTTATTTATTAGAAAAAAAGATACAATGAAAATTGTAAGAGCAAAAAAAGTGTCAAAAAAGAAAATGAAAATCTTATTAATATTCATTCATGACAAAAAAAACTAATTTAAGTCGATTAATTCATTTATATATAGTTATTATGCGTTATTCTTCATCACACAACTACTTTATCCTTGAAAATATTCATGAAAAACCTAGTAGTAACAAAAGAACTTCTTTATTTATTTTTGTGTCAAACTTCATATTTCATTTACAGTGGATTAACTTGATATAAGTCCCATAAATCATCCATTAAATCATTCATTGTAATTAGATCCGTATTCATATTTATTAAACGCATAACAACAATTCCATCATACTGTAAATAACGTTGACTAAAATTTTTTGTTATTGGTTGATAATCATGTGTATTTATGGTTTCAATTTCTTGATTTTGTTCTAATGAAAATTTTGATACTGTACGACGTACAACACGACGACGTGTATCAACTATATTTCGATCAATTGAAAAAAATAAAATCCATTGTATAAATAAATTATATATTGTACATATAAATAAGATAATTAACCATAAATAAGAAAAAATAAAAATTTTTTCATTAAATATATTTATTGGTAAAACACATTGAACTGTATGTCGATGTTTATTTTTTCCAAGAAAACGAACAATAAAATCACATAAAACATTGGTTGGAAATTGTAATGATGCATGACGTACTGTATTACTATAAATAAGAAAACGGTCAAGTATATCATTAATATTAAAATTAAAATTCATTAAATAATGTAAACTTATTAATTGAATAAGAATATTTATTAAATACATAAATTTCGTAAATAAATAGAATATTGTTAATTTAGCTAATTTTCCTTTTGGTTGTATACGAAAATGTTGATCAAGACGAATAGCAACATTTCGTATTAATTGTCGACGATATATTGGTGGTTCAGATAAAGATCGATGACTAATATTAAGTTGATCTAAATGTTTTTGTAATGGTAAACCAAAACGTGATGAACCACTTCTCCAACAGAATCCTGGTAGAAAAAATCCAAATGTTTGTAACATTAATATAAATGGTACATATTGATAAAAACGTATTGTATAGGAACTTTGTCGTATTTCTGATTCATCTAAATCAGGAATTTCTGAATCAATTGAAACAAAATAAGTATCAGATATCCAACAAACAAAATCCGCATAAGTTACATGAGCATTTGTAAATGATGCTGGAGTAAAACATGATATTGGTTTACCAACAAATTGAACTGATGAAACAATAAGAACAAATATTGAAAAGATAAGTACAGAATAATAACGTGATAAACGATCAATAAAATCATCATCATATCGACCAAAACCACTATAATAACGAAGTATTGAGTAAATATCAAACCTAAATTAGAAATCAAAGTTTATTGTGACGAAATTTTTTTAATTATTAACAATATATATCGTGTGAATTATGTCGTGTTGTATTCATCAAAATTTAATAAGGTAAAGAGGAACCTGGAATAATTTATATTGACTACTTTCATATGATCTATGATAAGATAACATGCAAGAATTTTATTTCAGTTATTCGGAATATTTAGATCTTTAATACTCAAAATATATAAATTGTTTTTACTTTCAATAAAGATATACAAAAGAAAAGCAAAGCTTGCATATATCTATTGATTATAATTTAAACTATTGTTTTTTTTTAATTTAACTTGCGGTGAGGATTTATATTTCTGTAGAATAATAAGAATTTAACTTAATCAATAATCTAATTGTCATAAATCAAGAAAGACATATTAATTGAATTTTGTCATAATGACATTTATATAAAGAAAAATCGAAAACATAATTTATTTTATACAATTGCTCAATAGAATAGACATTATTTGAATAAAATAATTTGACATCTATTATTAGATTTTAGCTTTTTTTTCCGAACTAAAAGTTCATGTTTAAATACTTTGTATTAGTATATAAAGAAAAATTTACCTGGGATATGGTCGTTTGTGATAATGTGCCATGTTAAGTAACCAACTGTCTACGTATACTTCTCGTTATATAGTTGCACGCTCAATTATTCACGACACATTCTTCTCTCTCCTATCTATTTTCAAAGTACTCTAGAGATTTTACTGATGTATGTCTATTTCTCGTTTTTTTTCCTTTTCTTCTCTAACATACATTCACTCAATGAGACATATATTCAAATCGAAGTTTTCATACATCTATTCACAAGAGAACAATTAAATGAACTAGCTTCGTTCTCTTTTTTCCACTTCATTTTTTTTCTTCTTGTGTCTTGATTAAGATGAATTATTCTATCATCATAAAAGTCTTTATTTAGTTCAATCTTTTCATGTTCAAGTAGTGATGTAGGAAGAGAGAGAGAGGAAGAAGAAAAAGCTTGTCATTTTATCATCGATGTCAACAAATATCTATGTCTTGTCTGCATTCACAAAAATAAAGAACGATAGTATCGAGATCTGGATAATAGTATTGCAACCGATCACATCTAGATGTGCATCATGGGAATTTTGTTGAAATAAATCTTTGAAAAGAATAAGATGTGTATAAAATATTTATTTTTATGGTTACTTAATTCTTCTTTCTTTCTTTTTCTTTTTTGTTCTTATAGAAGTAGTTATTTGAATTATTAAATAAGAAATTTGAGTTGACATCGTGCTATGAAATAATTTGATGCCCCTTTTAGCCTCAATCTATAAAGCATAATGCAAAAAGTATTTCCGAGTAATCATCCTAGATAAATGAATTATTTTTCTTGAAATTAGAATAATTTATAATAAGTAACAAAGAAAAAAAAATTTTTTTATGCTATATTAATTATATTATTTAAAAGGTATAAATTTTCGAAAAAGTGAATCAATTGTTTCTATTATATAATAAATAAAAGTTTTTTGCTTATCACAACTAATGTATCATTTAGAAAGATTCATTAATAGTTTTAATCAGAAAGAAACATTCATGTCATGCATGCATCGAGAAAAAAAAGCTATCTTATACACTTGAGAATAGGATCAATAATATAAATACATATATATATTATTTATTCTTATTTTAACATGCTATGAATTCAATTGTACTACATATATATAACTAAATAAAAGCAAAGAAATCAAAACTAACAAATTTAACACATTTTTCTATTTTCAATATAAACATTCTTACACATTAATAATATAGTCACGTATTAACCTTGGTCTCGTTTTTTTCTCTCTCATTATATATCATTATCATGCTGGACAAGTGTTTGAGTGTAAAAAAATTGCATTTGTTACAATAATCATGGCATCGTTACTTAAAGACGCTCTTGAACAAGTTGGTCAATTACATAAAACTGATGATGATCTTATTGATAGACTTAATCATCGTTTCACTGTTATTCTTCTTGTTATATTTTCAGCATTTGTTAGTACGAAACAATTTATCGGGTAGACAAAAAAGAAAATAATACTATCAGATTAAATAATATACATATCTTTGTTTTTTTTTACAGGGAACCAATTTCATGTTGGACTCCAGCACATTTCTCTGGAGCTCAAATAGGTTATACGAATAGTATCTGTTGGCTTAAAGGTACATATTATCTTGCAGCTGAACAACAAAGAATTCCACAACGTGCAGAAAATAATGAATTTCGTATTGCTTACTATCAATATGTTCCATATATGTTACTTGTAATGGCAGGTTTATTCTACATACCTCATATGTTTTGGTAAATAAATTCCTTTGAAAAAAAAAAAAGTTATGATAAAATATTTATAGGCGAAATGTCGGTCGACATATCGGCTTTGATCTTCGATCGATTATTCAAAATATGAGAAAAGATTCGAATATAACTATTAATCAAGTAGCATTACAACTTCATGTAGCTCTTCAATATAATTCATTGAAAAATATTGTTTATCGTGGTAAACCTGTCAATCGTTTATTAGAAAAATTTCAACGTTCATATCGATATCGTAAGATAAACAAATTATTATAGATTTGTATAAAAAGAAATCTTTTTTTTAATATTATTTTAGGTAATTTTTTATGCTTTATATATATAGTTGTTAAAATTCTTTATATGATTAATTGCTTTTGTCAGTTTTATTTACTATCTATGTTTTTATCATTTCCTTTTCA